GCCATTAATTAGACTGGCAAAGAGGGAAGTTTGAACATGAGGCTAGCAACCGCATCCCGTGAAAATAAACACTACTGATACAGAAACTTCAGGCCTCTAGCTTGAAGCCCTATTTTCCACTGGGAACGTGAAGGAATAAAAAATAGAAACCCCCACAATAGATATTTTATACTGTAATTAAAATTTCCATTTTTGACTACTGTGCTAGGGAGAGGATCGTTGTGTTCCTCGTATGGAAAAATTTAGTAATGTTTAACTATGATCCCATTCGTGGTTGAGGCCAGAACATTCAGGATGCAAACCTGGCGCGTTCACTTGTCCAGTTACGGCATAGTCTCTAACATTAGTGAAATATTTCGTTAAAAACTGAATTATCCGTCTTCCAACGATTCTTTCTTTGTTACTTTCATCTGATAATACTTCTGTTCAACTTATATAAGCTGTTCAATCACTAAACCTTTCAATTTTATTCAATTTGTAATAAAATGGTTATTTGCACCACTACCATTGTTAAAACATAAACGTGGAACATTATAGACACAAAGACTCAGTTTGTCCGAGGTCTGGGGAACTGCCCGGATGCCCAGACCTAATAATAATAATAATAATAATAATAATAATAATAATAATTCGCTTTATTCCAAAACAGTACTTGTGATACAAAATGGAATCCTCAGCATTTTACTACAGTACTGCATACAGTTTGTACATTAACGATAAATAAAATTCTACATAGATTGTGGGTAGTCACAGTTAATTTCGATAATAACATATTAGTATATCGGTAGCAAAGCCAAAAGTGAACAGAATGTTTGAAGATCCGGGGTTCGAGACCGCACCGACGCACATCTGATATCTATGGTTGGCCTGCAAAATTTGGGCTACCGATATCCATGCTGAAAATTCCATACTTGTACCGAAAATACAGTGTGGAATCAAGCTGTAAATCAAAAATAAAAAAAAAAATAAATAAAATAAGATGTTAGAAAAGTAGATACTAGCATATTTACTGGCATAAGTGGTAACAAAAAGGTCGAGATATACAGAGTGTGAAAGAACGAAGAAGAATGTTTTAAGTACGGTTTGTAAGGAAGAGCACATAACAAAAAAAGAGATAGAGAGAAAAGGAAAAGAAAGAAAACGTTGTACCTATAAAGATATGAGTTAGAAAGACGAGATCCAGTTGTTCTACTGACTATTTAAGAAGTTATGGATATCACGCCTAATGCTTTCTGTATCGCACAGAACACGAGCTAAGTAGGGTATGGTTGAGTTTTGTACTTGCTAGTGCGAGCATATAGTTTTCTGTATGGGCTTCTGGTCCTGACTGATGGGATACAAAGAGAGAGTTGTGAATGAAGAGAGTGGTGTGAGTTAGATAGAATGGATTTAGCCTATTTTTCGCATGAGTCCAAGTGCCTGTCGACCAGAATATTGACAATTTGGTTAAGTGGCACTTTGCTTACCCTGCTGACACCTTTTAACATTCTACGTAATAAGATATAGTCCTTTTTCAGTGGCCCTGGAAAAACTAAGAGGGAACAGTAGAGAATAAAAGGCAGGATGCAAGAGTTTACGAATCGCAGGAGTAAGGCTTGAGTTATTCCAGAATGTCTTAATTTCTTGATGTAGAAGGTAAGACGGAATATTTTCCTAGAAATCATCCAGATATGATGAGACGACCAGGAAAAATCAGCAGATAGAATGACGCCAAGATATTCAATTTTCGACTTGGTCTCTATTTCAGTGCCATCTATGTTGCACACCTCGTGAGTGTTAACCAGTTTGTTTAGGTCAGATTTTTTCCGAAAGGGGAAATTGACTGTTTGACTTCTAGAGGGATTTAAGATAAGCTAGTGGTTCTCTTTAATTTGAATTATGATACATAAGTTAGTGGACTAGTTCTAGGAGCTACGTTCCCATCGTTTCGGCTGTCAAAAACAGGCTTATATGCCATTCGATATGTTCGGATTCTCGATTTCATGTACATCACAGGCGTCAAATCCAGAGTCTTCCATTGCCCTTGGATAAAACAACATGCCCACCGGTCCACTCAAAAACGCCAGATGTTCTCACTGAGAGATACAGTATCTGTTTCCTGGAAAGAAATAATGGTAGTGCATGTACCATAATCATCTTCTGGATTAGGTCTAAAGTTGAGGCCAATCTCTAATGCAGTAGAAGCACTTTAGACGCTGTACTCCACTTGTACTCCACTACAATATTGGTTCTAGTTTTGATAAAGGCATAAAGTTTGTTTGAGCCTCTTTTTTAGACTACACTGCTGCCATTTGACTCTATTATTAGGGCACTCTTATTAAGCAATCACTTTCTGAACCCTAAATCACAAAGTGGCTGTATTCTAAATTTTCCGGTAGAAAACAACATACTGTTTTGAATGGGAAGAGCTCCACTTCGTTGCTTAAAGGAAACTGATGTACCTCAAGGAGCTGTACTCTCTCCGTTCCTTTTATCTTTATTTACAAAGCTGACATCATTAAATATGCCGACTATCTAACCATTTCTGTTCCAGTAGTTTTTGCAGTGCATCGTTCTTATATGAAAAGATCCTTGTCTGGTCGTAAACTGGATCCATCTAAATGTTATACTACTGATTTTAGTTTCAGATGGAAACAAAACTTGAGTGGATTGGTTCAATTCTATGATTCCTGTTATATTAACGACACTGTGATAGAAAGTAAATCGATTATCTCTTATCTCGACATCAGTTTCTCTTCGCATCTCTCTATTGGTCGTCTAATATCTTGTTGATTTCTAAGGAAATTTTTCGTTTGACTTATTGCATTAAAAAAGAAGTTGAAACTTTCTCAAATAACTCAACCTCTTCCCTTTTTCTGATTCATGTATTCTGCCCATTCTCCTTTATTGTTCGCTCTTATTCTTCCCTGGACTTTTCAAAAAAAAGACTATATCTCATATTGCGTAGAAAGAACACTGAAGGCTGTAAATAGGTTTAGTGGTGCGCCTATGACTCCTCTGCTATAACTGACATTGTTGCCGATAGACACTTCAATTCTTGCAAGTAATTTTCTGAAGTTGTCTTGTCTGATACCAAACATCTTCCTTATTGGCAACTTTCTCCTTGTTGTATATCTCCGGGAAGAATCAGAAGAAACTCCATAAGAATTTACGGTTGTGCAGCTACTAAATATGAAAACATTCTACCATGCCACCATATTTAGCACGGGTTTTGTGTGAAGAGATAGTCAGATGTTAGAAAAGAAATTATAAATAAGCTTTTTAAATCAGTAATCTGGACTGTAAAAGTATAAGCAAAAACTATTATTACACGTATTATCTATGCCATTATTTATTTATAATTTATTATTTTTCTGCCAATCTTCAGTTTTTTGTAGTTTTATGATTATTTTCTAGTTCTATGTGTCTTCATTTTTAAAAAAGGAGCTAAACTGTTGCAATATGTATAAAAACGCTGAAAATTCCATTCTGTACAATTAATATTGTTTGGAACAAAGTGATAATTATTATTATTATTAGTATTATGCCCATTCGGCCTTTCATTGTTATACAGGACACTTCCGCCGAGTGAAGACAATGTAGACGTGGCGACGTAGAGAGCATTTCTAAAGAGAGAAGATACAAGTGTGCTTACCCTAGGCCTTACTGGGTCGTTTATGGATGCCACTGTTAAAAACGAGTTGTAGACTGAATTCTTTGAATAACTAAGTATAAAGTGGTGGTGATCACTGATATATTTTCATTGCCTTTGAACATCTATCTATCCATCCATCCATCGATCAACCAGCTATGGATTTTGGACGGAAGTATAGTTCTTTTGTTACTTCTTCATTCTAACTGCTTTTGTCTTTGCGTTACTTACATTCATGATAGAAAAACTACTTCCTTGATATTCTGTACTTGTTAATCTGTCAAGAAATAAAATTTGCTTCCGATTCATTTATCTTTGAATCATTTTAAGTGGCGTAGAGAGTCAGTCAACGAGTTGAGTAGGTAAATCTATGAAGCCGTGTAACTACTACGACTCGGATGGCTAGGAACACGTGTTACACATACTCAGCTACCGCTGTCATTGTCCAGCAATGTGAGCTGATATCGGATTAGGCTGGAAAAGAGTTACGGGTGGTCAAATAAAAAATCTCGCATCACTTTATGAAGTTATTTTTGGCTATTGGTTTGAGCCAGCCACATAGGGTGACGTAAATTACCTTACTTGACTCCTGGAGACGCTATGAACTGGTGGGTTTAGACTGTTGGTGATCTGATATGAAACTGTTCTGAATGACTCAAATGTTTTCGCCCTTTATGCCCTCCATTATACACTAACCTCCCTTTTTTCCTCTATGTGATTATTATTTTTCTCTGGTACATTCCTGCCCATTATATAGTTCATACCTTTGTGTGCTACATCGAGTGTATCAACTTGAACTACTGCACTTACATGCAACGTCCTAAGCTGAAATTCAGTCATTCAGTGAATATAATACAATATATAATAATTTCATCCATATTGTGTTAACTTGTTTCAAGTCTGACCATGGATTGATATCGGTTAGAGAACCATTGTAAACCAGGGAGTACTGGACAGCTGTCTCGTCTTAGTTTGGAACTCACTGGTAGAACGTGTCCACCTGGGTTCAAACTCAGGAGGCTTTGTGACCAATGAAGTCCATCCATATGGGAGTGGGGACAAATACTCGCCTATGACAATTGACTGGTGGTCATGCTGAAATCAGAAATCGGTAGAAGCTAAAATTCGCGGGCCACTGAATCAGGTCCAAGTGGCTGAATGGTCCACGAGGTCACTTTGTGACCGGAAGGTTCTAGGCTCGAGCTCCTGTAAGTGTATGCTGCTGAAGAGTCCAGAAGCAGAACGAAACCACCATTTAGTACTTCTTGATCTATAGTTATTCTCCAACTGATCTCACAATCCGCGACCAGACGTGAAACAAATCAAATCCCTACAAACTAAAATCTTTTGTTATTATGTTTGTATTCAGTGATGAAAGAGAGCGTATACAAAAGTCATATGAAGAAAAATTAAATAAATTTGAAAAACAAAAGAATGAAATTCTAAAAGAAAAAGAGAGAAATATAACTGCAGCTCAGTAAGTTACTTTTTTTTTGCCAATCAGTCGTTTTATTGAAAATTCCCTAATAACAAGCGAATAAATTTTGCATTCCCTTTAAATGTTATAAAATTATCATGAAAGAGAGGAACTGTGATCAGCATCAGGTTTCACGGCATTTCTTTATCTGTCAGTCAAGGAATACTGAAGATAATGGTGTCAAAAGTTTGTCCGAATCATTGCAGAAGTTATCTGTATGCGAATTCCAGTTATCTTCGATAGTGTTTACTAGAGAAGAGCTTGTACTCAAACAGGAGAAGATAAGAAACTTGGTAACGGATATTTATTAAGGAAAAAAAAATTATATTTCTACACTACTAGCCACATTAAATTTCGACAGGATCAGAGGAGAATAAGGTGTCCTGATTGACTGGCAATCGGCCCAGGGTCAAACATGTTGTCCAATGAGGTTATTTCATGTCCACAAAATAGCCTTAATCCCTATTTGAGGGATAAATATACTTCTACCTCTGCAGCCATTGATATAAAATGTTAATATCAATTTCAGCCAATTTCTGTCAGTCTGTTCCTGTGGAGCCAGTTACATAAGCCGTACAATTAGGGATATTTCTCGTCGGATTTCTGAACATCACCCTGAGTGGTTAAGCAAAGGACAAACAAAATATATTCGTAGCGCTGTTCTTTCTCATTTTGTGGGTACAAAACACAAGATTGATGTTAACCAGGCTTTCAAAGTAATTTACCACATACCAACAAATCTTAACTTTGCCTTAAGAGTTCGTTTACTAAATATTGCTGAGGCTATTGGGATCCACATTAAGAAGCCTAATTTATGCGTTCAAAAGAAGCTATTTCAGACATTATCTTTACCTTGGCCATCTAGAATCGAATGGTCCTCATTTTTTGTGAAAATTCCGCTAATATTAGTTGATATTCTATTTGCTATTATATTTTTATATTATTATTATAATTTAAGCATTTTTAATGAACTGTAATTCCGTTGATCTCACCTAACAGATCGATATTATTTAAAAATACCAATATTCTTACTGACATCTATTCTAGAATATTCTATGTGTGCGTCGGTGGCACAGCGGTTAGCATGCTCGCCGACCATGCACATGGTCCGGGGTTCGATCCCTGGCCGACGCCCTCCTTTACCTCACTTACCCAATTATAAGATTAGTAAAGAGGGAAGGTCAGGCATGAGGTTAGCAACCCCATCCTATAAAAATAAACACAGCTACAGAAACTTCTAGCCTCCAGCCTGAAGCCCTATGTTCCACTGGGAACGTGAAGGAAATTTTAAAAAAATACAAACATAGATATGTATGCGACATAGATATGCGACAGAAAACGGCAACCAACGAGGGAACAGGCATAAAATGGACTCACACAAAAGACTTGGAGGATCTGGACTTCCCCGATGATATATGTCTGATTTCCCACAAACTGGAAGATATGCAAGTGAAAAGCAACAAGTTAGCAGAAGAAGCATCAAAGATAGGACTTCAAGTGAAGATACAGAAAACAGAGTTGATGAAGATTCCTGGCCAACAGCAACAGCAACGACAACAACAGACAACAATCAGCCAGCATAAATGGGAAGAACCTGAAAGAAACGACCTCCTTCATTTACCTGGGAAGTATCGTTTCAACTACAGGCAGAACTGACGAGGATATCAAAGCAAGAAGCGGAAAAGCAAGACAAGCTTTCATTACTCTCAAATCTGTGTGGAGGTCAACAGCACTCAGCATCAAAAATAAGATCCGGATTTTCAACTCCAATGTAAAGTCAGTCAGTGCTACTATACGGATCAGAGACTTGGCCAGCGCGTCATAAAGAGCATCTCCAACAAACTTCAAACCTTCATCAACAGTTGTCTTCGCTCAATACTCAAGATCAGATGTCCAGAAAAGATCAGCAACAGGGATCTCTGGGAGCGAACCAACCAGGAACCGATTGTGAAACAAATAGACAGGAAGAAATGGAGACGGATTGGCCACACCCTGAAGAAACCATCAAGCGACATCACTAGACAAGCCCTCGAGTGGAACCCGAAAGGGAGGCGGCGAGTTGGTCGTCCAAGGGTGACTTGGAGGAGGTCATGCGAGGAGGAGATGAAAGCCTGTGGACAGACCTGGAGCGGGGTGAAAAATTTGGCAAAAAACAGAAGGTAATGGAGGTGCGCTGCTGAAGCCCTATGTTCCTCTAGGAACTAAAGGATACAATAATAATAATAATAATAGTAATAATAATAATAATAGGTATGTATATACTTGTAGGACGAAAAGAGGAAATCATCAAAAGGGATATTCTTTGCTCACTTATTTTATGTTTTATAGATGTCTGAATGAATATTTTCTCTGCATTACTACTTCTGTCATCAAAAAATTCCAGTTACTAATCACCTAATATAAAGACTGATATCTTACTTGACTGAAGCTTTTGGATCTTTATTTTGGCAGTCTTTCACGGGATTAGTACCTGCAACAGATCATAAGAGGATTATAAAAACTCGACAGTCTTAAGTTTGTAATACCGCCGATAGTTTTAACACCTCAATAAAACAAAAAACTTGAAGTAAAACTATCTAAATGAATTTCAGTTTTAAAATCACTAATACACACGCCATATTACTGTTGTTAAATTCAAATATTTGGATTCTGCTCACAAATCAGTTAGATATTGAAGTACAAAAAATGACAAGATAACGTAAGTTGGCAGAAAACTGTTGATAAACAACTGAGATACGAAAAACTGTTGTAAGTAAGCTCCTTTAGTTCGATGTCAGACTTATGGAGCATGAAGGTTAGCAAATGATGATGTAAGTAGGTAAGAGGGTAAAAATAGTCGAATTGATTAATGTTGAAAGACGAATTGGTAAGGCAGAGAAAGACTTACTACAGTTTGGTTTTGAATACATAGGTCACGTTTAAACCATTTGATAGCGATGGCTTCTGCGAAGTTCAAGAGGCTTGAGTTTGTTTGTTTTCGTATTATCTTAATGAAATTTAAGATGCTTGCTTGATATTCCTGCGTGTCAGTCAGATGTTTCGTGATTGTTCTGCTGAAAGATTTACTTCCTCTTAATCGCTTCCCTTGCTTCCTACCCTTTTGTTTTCTTCGAGGAACTTCCATCGCGTTACATCCTATATTTTATGCAAATTTTTGACCCGATCATTAGTTATTTTGAAAGCTTTTTCATAAATCTAGATGCCTGTATAAGTACACCTCATATGCTATTTAATAATAGTATTCAATAAGTGTCCATTACTCCCTCGTTTTCCAACTGATATCAATCCGTTATCAAACTTAAAACAAACCAGATTCCTACAAACCAACACTTGAAAATTAATCTGATGCTTGCTAGTAAGTGGCTGGCTACAGGACGAAAATTCCTGAAGTTCTAGTGAGAAGTGGTGACCAGTAGTGGGTCGCACCAGGTCAGACGAGAGAACAGTTACTCGTCTGTGACATTAGCTGACGGTTGTGCTAAATATCGCGAATTGGTAGGAGTTAGAATTTATGGGTCGTTGGATCAAATCCTAGTGGCTGAATAGTTTACGAGCTTAACTTGTAGGCTGAAGGTTCTAGGTTCAATCCTTGGTGTGGTCATGGATGTGTACTTCTAAATGCTCTCAAATGAGAACGAGACGGTTGTTCAGCACTCTCTGGTATTTCAATGATTCTCCAACTGATATCTGCTTGTGATCAAAGGTATTTTTTAATAATAATAATAATGGTAAATCAAAAAAAACTCATCCATTTACGGTTTGTTTTATCTAAATAATATCCAGGATCCCAATTTCCAAGAATTGCAACCAGCCAACATCAGTTTATACTGCACCACAATGAAGAGTCACTTATTTTAATGATGACACTGGAAGCTGGAGTGACAGAATTCAGAATACATAAGTCAGCATAGAAATATCTTTTCGGATCTTCACTTCAAAGCTGTACAATTATTTAAGCGTTTATATATACGATATTCATTGTGACAGCAGAGGTTAGAGGTTTTTGCTAGTCAGCAACAAAATTAAATCACAGTGTTTGAGAAATAACCATATGTGAATGATAGTGGATAATCTGACGTAATCGAGAGGGTTTACAACTAATTAGTTAAGTGATAAATGTTGATCTAGGAAACAAGAGAAAAGAAGGTTGACAATGGGTTATAAAAAATAAAAATAAAAGGACACAATATATGAATTTCTATGCAGCCATTCGGGAAAATAAAACTGACACTATGTTCATGGGTAATAAAAGAGCCTGGCTGTAAGACCTTTCTGAACACATAGTTCTGACGTCTTCTCATAGACTATTGGAGCTTGATCTTGATCTTACACGATTGAAATCTGACTCTTAATGAATTCTCTGTCGATACTGTGGCGAGAGATGTCTGCAAGCCGAAATTGGTAGACAGCAGTTTACGTCAATGTTTACGTTCCGAATCGGGGTCATGAAAAAAAAAACAATAAGAAAGCTTAACCTTGAGGAACTCAACAACCAATCACGGCGGACTTAACGTGTGCAAATACAATTTTCAGATATATCGCCAGACTTTCTAAGAAACGGCAATAAAGGGGTGATAGAATAACCTTTAGCTAGAAAACAGCCAATCAGAAGGCGTTGCTTCTCTCCTAACGATAATGAATAATAATGTACATAAAGATCTACAAATATCTCTTGGTTTTCTCAATAAACGATCTGTTGCCTGGCCCTTGTCTTTTGTCGTTACAATACTATGCGACTAATAGTAATAATGTGGTCCAGAATTAACATGCAGACTGTTCTATCCTCTCTTCTGGATTAATTAACATTGAAGTATAGTTACCAAAAGAGATTTGTTTGCTGACTTATTTGTTCTTAATTGCATCACAGATGAATTTATCATTCCATGATAGAATTCAGTTGCTGCACTATTTGACATAGTGTAATCAAACTTATGGTCAGTAAGTGTATACATCAGCTTTATTGTGACTAGTTTTGTACTATATCAGTAACCGTTTCGAATCATTTTCATGAACCTACTTTAATTATAATAATAACAAGGGTTTACTTCAGACAATATGCGAACATTTTATTATTATTATTGTTTGCTTTAATCCCTAGAGGAACATAGGGATTCAACCGAACGTCCCCATCGCGTTTGGTTCTCTGTCAACGTTTTTGCCTGGCTCCATGTCTGCTCACATGCTTTCATCTCCTCTTCACATAACCTCCTCCATGTTACTCTCGCACTGACGACCAACTCGCCGCTTCCCTTTCGGGTTCCACTCGAGTGATGGTATGTCGTGCGATGTCATTTGATGGTTTCCGCAGAGTATGACCAATCCACCTCCAATTCTTCACGTATATTTGTTGCACAATTGGTTCCCGTTTGGTTGGTTCGCTCCCAGAGATCCCTGTTGCTGATCTGTTCTGACCGGCCATCTGATCGTGAGTATTGAACAAAGACAGCTGTTGTTGAAAGTCTGTAGTTTGTTCGAAGTGCCCTTCGTGACACGCCGCCAAGTTTCTGATCTGTATAGTAACATTGACTTCACATTAGAGTTGAAAATCGGATCTTGTTTTTCATGCTGAGTGTTGTTGACCTCCATACAGACTTGAGAGTAATGAAAGCTTGTCTTGCTTTCCTAGTGATCCTCACTTTGATATCCTCGTCAGTTCCGCTCGTAGTTGAGAAGATGCTTGTCAGGTAGGTAGATAGGTAGGTAAAGGAGATTGCTTGCCTCTTTTAGATTTCTCCCATTTATGCTGATTGTTGTCTGTTGTTGTTGCTGTTGCTGTTGGCCAGGAATCTTCATCACATCTGTTTTCTCCATGTTCACCTCAAGGCCTATCTTTGATGCTTCTTCTATCTCCAACTTTTTGCTTTTCACCAGCATATCTCCCAGTTTGTAGGAAATCAGATGACTATCGTCGGCGAAGTCCAGATCCTCCATGTGAACATATAGTACAGGCATATTCACCGTTCCAAAATATTTTGTCTTTGTACATGATTTACATTTAAAATAATATTTTGAAGTATATCTTTTCACATAGTACTATTGCATATGAAGACAGAACCAATGTCGTACATTTTTCGTCATTTTCTTCAAGCGTTGTACAGAGTTTTGTTGAAAGCTGATTAAATATGTGTGTGAGTTCATGTAGTGATCATCTAATATAACTTCATGATTAAAATATGAAGAAATGCAGAAGAGTTTAAGCACTTTGGTTGATCGAAACTCTCGTAGCCAAGTGATTCAAGCAGGTGGCTAATATTACGAAATTTTATGAATAATAATCATATCTTTAATCTGAACAATGTTTATGTACTGTACAAGATTATCAGCAGAGTTTATTGCACGATATTTTCTCTTCGTCTAAGATCTTCAAATAAAAGATTGACTGGTTACAGGATTTCATCATGAACTGACATTATCGGTTAGAGAACTGTTGGAAAACCTGCAGGGAGTACTGAACAGCTGTTTCGTCCTACTAGCTTGGGAATCTTCACAGTACGCACCCACCGATAGGGTTCAAACCCAGGACCTTCTGGTTCTCTAACCGATGTCACTTCATGATGAAATCCTGTAACTAATCAATCGAATCCCTACAAACCAATATTTGAAGAAAAAGACTGACTGACTGACAGTGGATCATACAACGAAGTGCTATCTGACCTGAAGCACAGCCCAATCCATTATGATGTTACCTCTTTTTCTTCTTCCACAAACACACAACATTTTGTTGAATACCAATTATAAAAACTTCATGAGTACATTTTGTGAACCAAGAATACCATTCAGGAACGATCATCTCATGCATCTGGATAAACTGCCATCCAGGATAATGCTTTTTCAAACGTTTAACAGAAACCTGCCAGTCAGCAGGTTGTCTATGTTTTAAATACTCGCCAGAGTAAACGATGCTGTTAGAAGTCATATTTTAATAGATTAAAACAGAGTGAATAAGAGAAATTATATGTGATATAATGATAGAGGTATTTGATAGACCAATTTTTAAGCAGGCCGATAATTATGTTCCCCCCCCCCCTATTTAGTATTAGCACTGAATAGCAAAATATTATCTTGTTAAATTGGTGATGATGTATAGTCGGCGAATTTCAACAACAATAGCGTCCCAGGAGGGCAAACGCTGCAATGACATTGAACGCATGCTAATCGTTGGCTAACGGCAACTGTCGTTATTATAGCTGAAATATCAATGCTATTCACCATCTAGGGAGCGAATTTCCCTCCAGATCACGTTTTTAAGTACTGTTTGAACAAAGCGTTAATAGCTCGTTAGGGTTAGTGTTAAGGTAAGTGTTGGGGTTAAGGTTAGAATCAGGGTTACCGTTGGCATAAGGGTTGTAATTAGGGTTAGGAATAAGGTCAGGGTTACGATTATGGATAGACTTAAAGTTGATATCAATTATTTCAATTTGTTTTATTATCCACATTTTCTCATTAAAAGTAGTCGTCGATCCTGTCACTGGAAACCATAGTAATTCAACCCAGGGGGCTTTTAAGGAAGGCTGCACAACAGGACAAGAGAGATAAACAATTCACAAACAACAGCTCATCTTCAGTCACCATCTCGGTGAATACTTGCACAGAAACTAGTCTAACTTAGCAACTGATACTCCTCACTACAACTGGAATGTATCTTTTTAGTCATTTCAGAGATACATACCCTTTTAAATGTGTTTTCATGCATTTTTTGTTGTTGTAAATATACGTCATTTTTCATGCAAAATTCCTTCATTTTTATGATTAGTCGGCTCAAGGACACAAGTGTGTTCGCATTCCTTGGAACGCTATTGTTGAACTTTGCCGTATAGTCATTATTAAGGTTAATACTAGACTAATATTCTTTATTATATCAACCATTTTTGATATTTTTGCATTCTTCTCTATACATATGCATTAGCATGTTTTTTTTCAAAAACTTTAACCATTTAAAATTAAACGTCTTTCTTTCTGGTCTTTGTGAAATTCTAAAACAAACCATATGAAGTTATGAACGTGAAAGAAAAGTACGCCAAGTACAAGAAAGAAAACAGCAGTTAGGCAAAATGCTTGATGAATACAGGAAGGAGTTGTACAAAGCACGTGAACAAGTAAGCAGTTTTTTGTCTATTTGTCTACACATCCTTATATTTCCATTATATTTCTTTTTTGTTACTGTTTGTAAAGTTTCAACAGGGCATAATAAAAATTGTTACACACTAACATCAGTTAGAGGATTAATGAAAACCAGGAAGTACTGGACACCCGTCTACCATCCTGGTTTGAGATTCTTCAGCATTACCTACTAAAGGATTTAACTCACTTCAGAGACTCAGGGATTGACTTGTTACCCACCAGGGAATAGTCTCGTTGACTTCAAATATGTAGATTATGTAGTCATTCTAGGTGAAGATGCTGACAATCTACGAATGTTTAGCATGCAATTCGCTCCCACCAAATGTGAAGTGGTAGAGCACGTTAACCACTTCACTTATTTGGGAAGATGCACCAACCAGCGCCAACGGATTGATCTCTGACGAAATCTCAGTATGGATACAGAAAGCTAGTTTCGCATATGCCAGTTTACGCCGTCTCTGGCGTAGACGTGATATCCAGCTGGCTGTCAACCAAAGGGCGGATGTACTGCTCATCAGTCTGTTCCGTCCTACTTTATTTCTGTGAAACGTGGACATTGACAGTGGAAGACATGAAAAGCCTAAATAGCTGCCTTTGATCCATAGGTACCTGCGTTATATCTCCTGTGTTAGGCGCTGGTATAATAGGGTTAACAATATTGAGCTTAGGCGTCGGTAGAGTGCTAGGTAAGGAAGGGAAATCAATAGACGAGGCTGTGAAGTTACATAGACTGAGATGGTTAGGACATGTGTTACGAATGCCTAGTCATCGCCTTCCTCGACTGGCAATGTTAGCTGACATATGGTCAGACTGGCAAATAGCTAGCGGCAGTCAAACCAAGACATTGCATTACTCAATGAAATCCACAACAGTTAGTTTAAGCCAGCCAGTCACGTAGGGATGTGTAAACTTCCTGGTTGGGTTCCTTGGGATGGTAAAAACCAATCAAGGCTGGACGCAATCGGTGATATGGCTTGAATATTGTTCTCGATGATGGCTCAAATGCATCCACTCCTTGTGGCCTATGATTTCCAATGAAACTACATTGTTCTTCGTTACCGCTATTTCTTTTGTCTCATATCCCTCTCTACTGTCTCTACTTTCCCTTCCTTCTCTTGCTTTGTGTGGTACATGAAGTGTGGCGACTTGAACTTCTGCACATCGGTGCAAAGTTCTATGTTGAAAATAGACAAACAGACAAGCCTACCTGAATATCGAACCAAGGACTTTCAGGCGAGTCCATTGATCCCTACCACAATGGACTGGGATATACTGACCCATGCATTCTATCTCCTGTGAATATGTAATATAGCCCCACTTTGAACTATTAATGCCACTGATACACATCTGTCTAACATCCTACACAGTTAATTTTACAAGTCATTTACTTCTAATTAGAATTTCAGGACAACCATTCTATAGCTGATTATGATCAGAATAATCAGATTTCTGATCTTGGCCAGTGGAAGCAAGTATATTGGGTGTGGAGCAGATTCCCATTGTTGGCATTAGTTAGCAGCTGTGCTACATTGTGAATTGATAGAAGTTAGAATCCACGAGTCTTTGAATTCCAACCCAGTAGGTAATTGAAATAGTTGATAGGCTCACTTCATAACCTCAAAATCCTAGATTCGACCCCTGGCAACATTGTGGGTGTACAGTCCTAAAGAGTCCCAAACCAAGATGAAACACGTGATCATTAAGTCTATGGTTTTCAGTAATTCTCTTTTACTGACGTTAGTCAGTGATGAAATCTACAATAAAATAATTCGAAGTTCTTTCAAAAGCAAAATTGTGAATATTTTTATTTTTTTCATTGCATGGAGGATTTCACCATGAGCTGACATCAGTTAGAGAACCAACCACTGGTAAACATGGGAGTACTGGACAGCTGTTTCTTCCTAGTTTGGGACTCTTCATCAGTACGCACCCATCAGGTTTCGAACCCATGACCTTCTGGTTACAAGACCAGCTCGTAGCCCATTGAGCCACTGGAACCTGATCCAATGGTGGGTGCTTACCGCTGAAGAGTATCAAATTAGGACGAAACAGCTGTCCAGTACTTCAAGCTTGTTTTCCAACGGTTCTCTAACTGATGTCAGCTCATGATCAAATCCTCCATACAGGATGTGAGCAGTTTTAAAAATAAGTGTAACAGTGAAGGATATTTTCGTTCTGACAAATCATTTATACAAACGCTGTACATTCATATTTATAATCAACATAGAAGTCATAAAATCAATCAAATACTGGTAATTATGTTCTGAAATAAATTTTTTGCATAATGTGAGATATAACCTAGAGACAAAGGTACAAGGATGGAGATTAAAACACAAAAGTTGGTACTGTATAACATGTGTGGGAAACGATCTAATCAATCGAAAATGTATAAAATGTACAAACACTAGTCGAAATCAACTAAAATATAAACATAAAGTATGAATGAGAAATGTAATGTCATAAGTAGACTTTATTTTTGATAAATATTTATTTACTGTGTCAGCGGCACAGAGGTAGAATGTTTGCCGACCACGAATGTTGTCCAGGGTTCGATTCCCAACTGACGAACTCCTTTTCCTCGCTAAGCCAGTAATAAGAGTAGTAAAGAGGATAGGTTGGGTAATGAGGCCAGCAACTTCATCCCGTAAAAACAAACACCACTACTATCGAAACTGTAAGCCTCCAGCTTGAAGCCTTATGTTCCACTGGGAACGTACAGGAATTAAATAAATAAAAATATTACTTATTATTATTTTATTCGTTAGCGTTTCAGGGGGAACATAGGCCTTCAAGCTAGAGTTTTGAAGTTTAGATAGCAGTGGGTTTTTACGGGTTAGATTTTTTAGCCTCACACTTAACCTTACCCCTTTACCTGCCTTACTACCAGTTTAGCGAAGTTAAGGTGTGCGTCAGTCCGGGATCAGAACCCGGACCACATACGTAGTTGGCGAACATTCTACATCTGAACCACCAACGTACAATGATAATAATAAATTGTAAAATAATAGTAATAATAAACTAAAATGCCAAACAATATAACGAAACGCAAATTGCTACTCTGACCATAGCACAGCGGGTGAAGGTATGTGATACTTTTGAACGTAGAGCTCCTAACAGCCTATGATGTAGTTATATATAAATAGAAATCCTCTCATGAGACATTGAGGAATTCTGTGTAACACTGTGAAGCAATCATGCGGGGGTGCTCGTAGATAAAACTACTGGCATTCTTCTTCTCTCTGTCTGGACAATGATCCAAACTACATTTACAGACTTGACACTGTGTAAAACCAATGTAATTTACCCTGCAGTAATAAGTAAATTGATAAACAAATACACACTTAGGTAGCCAAAAGCTGTATACTATCATTATTGCATGACTGAGCTAACTATCTGACTTAGAATATGACTTTCAAGATGGCTTCCTGGAATGCCTATTTCAGCTTGGAACTCCAGACTCCTGAAGAGAACTTTCAAAAAAAAAGTTAAAACCTTAAGCAATAACAATTTTTCTCCAATATTTTTTTATATAATCTAGGCGAAATCTATTTGCTTATAGAGGTTTCCAAAAAATTAGAGTATGGTTGTAATCCATTCATATTAGTCTCAATGGTTAGTTACTGAAGTTGGTTTGCAAGGATGGAAGCTCTTTTGCGAAATAAAGAGATGGCTGATTCTGATTACAGGACTTTACCATGAGCTAACACCGATTAGAGAACCATTGGAAAACCTAGGAGTAGTGGACAGCAGTTTCATCCTAGTTCAGGACACTTCGTTGGTACGTACCTACTGGGTTTTGAACGCAGGACCTTCTGGATACAAGGCAAGCTTGTAGACCATTAAGACACTGAGATCCGAACCATCGGCCCATGCGTTCCAACTTCTGTCAATTCAAGATATAGCGCGACCACCGGCTAGTTTTGAGTGGGTTACAGCACGTCGTGTGCAGGGACAAAAACTGTAACCAGTCGAATCTTCGCAAACTAACACTTGAATATAATCCTAAACAATATGGTCTCTAAATCATCATATCGATAACTTATTCTCGATTGTTGATACTGAAGAATAACAAAGACAAGACAGGTGCAACACCAGAAGAGAAGTGAAATCGGACTTTTTTATTAATGAAAAATGCATCATATCAAACATGTCTAATCACACTAAAATTCGGCTAGGTCAGCGGACGATAAACTGTTCCGACTGGTTGGCGATTGGCCCACGGTTAAACAAAGGGACGAAAGGTTGTCCGTTGAGATCATTTCCAGACCACAACGTAAACCAAATCCAGATTTGAGGAATAAACACTTTTGCCCCTGAAGCTATTGACTAAAAATGTTGATTTCCATTTATAGCAGCTTCGTATGAATCTGCATCTATAAAGCACACGCCACAGAAGTAGACGTGAGAATTATGTGGTTGTTTTGTTCTATCATCAATCTATTGATAAGACCAAAGACTGTAAGGGGTGTGAAGCCCATAATTACGAAATTGAAAACTAACAGCTCATGATATTTAAATTCTTTCCAGTCGTGAAGTAAAATCACTATGCTAATCAAATTCGTCAGTGGGAATCTGTCCTCGTTCGATGCCTAGAAGACTATACTGGTCATAACAGCTTATTAGAAATCTGTATTGAGATATGTTTTGTGTTCGCTTATTCACTATATACGTATTTTTAATTATACTCATCACTTCTCGTTGACATATCTGGATCTAATTGGTCAGCCTCGTTTTGACTAAAGACTCCTTAAATGAATTCGCCGATTTTACTGTGAAGTTACTTGTTTGGAGTTTGAAGGGGCGAGTGGTACTGGGTTCGAGTCAGTGGGAACAGTGCCATTCACTAATAAGTAGGTACTTTCAGTTAATATATCCTAAACAACAGAAGAGAACATGCGGAACCTACGACTGCACTAGCGATCGAACCCACGACCTTCAGGGTACGAGACCAAGCTCGTTGGACAGTCAAACAGTTGGACCAGGATCGAATTCTAAAATGAAATGAAATTCTCTTCTATGGTATCCTAATTCACTTGAAAATCTTTGATGGTTTCGCACTATTGTGTGTAGTGTTGGGAATACGATACGTTCAATTGTTATGTAAATCTCTCCCTAAGCAATAAGATTCGTGGACAAGAGTATCAGGAACCTTATAAGGCGCATGTTACTAGTTTTATGGGCGAACTAAAATTTGGACATCATTATTCTAGTGTATTTGAATAGACTAGTAATTTATGCCTTAAAATAGTAGTAGGGTATCAAAGCGTGTGAAATAATACACTTAATCTAAGTTATGTTTACATATGTAATAAAGCTAAAAATAGAAGACTAAAAATCTATAAGAAGTTAGCTTGATATTATGGGCGTGTTCACAAGAGAAATTGGTAGGATTAAACATTACTTACAGTCTATTTTTAATAATAGTTGGAGCTTTATATTAACACACTATCAAGCTAGTTGAGTCGACCGGTATGAAACACATTTCAGGTTGCCAATTACTCTAATCTTCTATTCGGATAACCTGGTGTTGTGAGTGCTGCTTATAATCAGATATAACTGGTATATCAGTAAATGAATTTAGAAAGGTGACAGTAAGTTTTGAGGCACTGGTAAAAGCAACTGAAGAAGAAAACTGTGAGAAAAATATTAGAAACATTGTGCAGAATCCAACAAGCTATTGAATGCGGTGATATTCGACAAATTTGCAAATGATGTGCAGATAAAGACTTAAAGATAAGGTTATACCAAATCGATGTACCTACAATACGTTTGTCCTAGTAAACATTACCTTCGAGCCTCATCACCCTTTTCTTCTTCATACCAGTAAAACATACACTCAAGTGGGTGGTTATCGTGGTACATCTGCGTTAACAGTTAATTTTCTTATTAAATGGTTTATAAAAAAAATGACAAGAGGTGTCAGACGAAGACACCGGTGGTAACGTCATGGTTGTTTGTTTAAGAATATGATAAGCGTCCATACTTCTACCTAGATAATACAAACAAAAATCTTAATAATGAAGAGGAGATTTGTAGCTCAGATGGATGATTTTGATGTAGTTGTGTTCTCTGAGCTGGATAGTGGTTTATTTGCGAAGCTTTCATCGCTCCACTGGGCAACATCTTCAGAGCATACTTCATTTTGTTGAAGTGTGCTTTTAGATTTCTCCTCTTCGTCTTCGATTCCATGAACATAAACTAGTCGTTAGGTGACATGACATCCACCCCTTCATATCACTGCATACAGACAACTACAGACATCATGTCGACCGGGACAACATTCAGATTTAAAGGAAACACCAAGAATGCCAGAGAACTTTTAGAATCCTGCTATTCCAATGAATCATCAATTAATAGACACATTAACATAGACAATATTTATCGATTGATTAGAAGGAAATCTCACAAACGAAAGATTAACCTTCAGGTCAAGGAAACAATAAGCACCAATACAAGTAACCTAGAGGGTGTGAAAATACACAAAAACAACCAATCACATTCAAGGTCGCCAGGAGAGATGACCAATAAACTCGTCGAAAAAACTAGAATCTCGCTTCAAACTGAAGTATGCACTGAAGATGTTACGTAGTAGGGCAATGAAAGCTTCACAAATAAACCACCATCCAGCTCAGAGAACACAACAAATACACCAAAATATCTTCATACTTGCAAATGTTGTTACGTGATGTCAGTTGATGACGCGAGACTCCAAACGCAATAAACACCACTCAGAAAATTAAATTTATATAGTTTGTGGCCAGAGAGTTGAGGGTTATACAAAAATAAATGTTTGCATATAATGGAAAAATAGTTACTTAATACAGATAAGAGGTGAGTAAGATGATGAGTCAATAATAAATTGTACAACAAGCAGTGAGTTCAACTGATATCATAGGAACAAGAGACGAGCAAAGTTACACTATGTCAAAGATTTCGTAATCAGATGAAAGAGAGGGTAAAGACATCCAGTTATCAGGACAGCGAAACACTGATAACTGCTTCTTTTTGAACACATAGATTAGGTTTCAGGTGCTTGATAGTGATGGCTTCAGCAAACTTTAGGGGAATTGAACTATCTTGTGTATTGATTGATAACTTTAAAGGATTCCACGATGTCCACCTCATGACATGACCCATATTGATGAGATGTCTGGCAATGAACTAATATGCCTAAAGAAATGTAGAATAATTGGCTACATGCATGCCATGCACTCAAGGGGAACCCGAATGGAAGACGACGAGTTGTTCATCGGTCCCAAGGTGAAGAGGCAATTAAAGCTTATGGACAATTACAGAGCCCGCTAAACAGGACTGAACAGGAACAGAATGTAATGAAGACGTAGTACTGTTGACTGGAATTTAAAGCAATAATAATAATAATTACTATAAGCCAACCTACCTAGCTGTTTAGCATCTCATTTCATATAAATATAATTAATTCATAAAATCAGAGAGTTATGATTTTTAATTCCGCATTGCGTTAACTTTTCTTTTAATCTATACTTTGTTCATAGTCAATACAAAGAGCTGCTGAACGTGTGTCGTCAAGACTATCTGAAGAACAGCAAAGATTAGCTTTAGAGAGAAGACAAAAACAGCTACAAGTTGAAGAAAATACTAAAGAGTTAGTTTAAGTATTCTTCTTTTCTCTAACTATTTGAATGAACATTATTTTCGTTATATACTATTGGTGTTCCCACTGGACTAAACAAAGGCCGTCTTTTGTCAGTCTTGTGGTCGTACTTCAAATTGCCAGTGTGTGCTATTGACAAGATTTATAAATAGTATATGAGGAGACGTTCATCTGAACAAAAATAGCAAACAACACAATGAAAGATTTGACAATAATGAAAGGAAATCAACCAGTATTGCAGCAAAATATGGAAGGCACGAAAAGAAGACAAAGAGAAACACAATACGAGGAGTGTGAGTAGATCAACACGGAAGATCTGTGCAAATGACCACTTTAATATGTGGTATACATAATTTCTTTATATGCGTATATCAGACTACAAATAAACGTATCCCATTACAAAATCATTTTCAAATACTTATTAAAATACATTGATCAAATCAATTTATTTTTATTTTATTTATTATTCCCTTGCTTTCTGAAGGGAACTTGGGGCTTCAGCAACACGTCTCCAATTTGTTCTGTTTTCTGTCATCCTCTTCAGGTGGGTCCACGATTAGCCATAATCTCTCATCTCTTCCTCATACGATCTCCTCCATGCCACTCTCACACTAGTGACCCACTTGTCACTTCCCATTCGGATTCCACTCTAGCAATGGTCTGGATTGAGCGTGATACCATCAGACGGCCTCTTCAACGAATGCCTGATCCATCTCCATTTTCGCATACATATTTTTTGAGCACAATTTCTTGTTACTAATTCTTTCAGGCTGTTTGATCTTTAATATGAAGCCAGCAAAAAAGGGCAGCTGTTGATGAAAATATACAACTTGTTGGAAATCCTTTACGTGATACGCTGGCCAAATTTCTGACCCATATAGAAGAACCGACATCACATTGGTGTTTAAAATCTGAATTTTGTTTTTTTATATTCAGCGCAAAAGATTTCCAGACTGGTTTCAGATCTATGAAGCAGTAGCTTGCCTTTCCGATTCTAACTTTTACATCTTCGTCCGTTCCGCCTGCAGTTGAAACAATGTTTCTCAGATAAATGAAGGAGGTAACCTCTGTTAAATTTCTCCATTTGATGGTGATTGGCGCTGTTCGTTGTTGTTGCTGTTCGTGGTGGTTGGTTATCTTCATCATCTCTGTCTTCTCTATGTTCACCTAGAGTCCTGTCTTCGCTGCCTGCTTCTTCAGCCAGTTTTTTTCACCTGAAAGTCTTCGAGTTTATGTGACATTAGGGGTGGATTCTTCACACGCGAAATTCAAATCTTCTCGAGTCTTCTTATCGGTCTGGCGTATTTCCAACTCTTCGCCCCTAACAGTCTGACGCATAATCCGGTCCACAACATTTAGGAATATCATCGGTGATATTAGTCAGCCGGCTCTGTCTTACTCCTGTATTCACTTTGGACGCCTCTCTGAGTTTTCCGTTGTGAATCACTTGACATGTGGGATTGTCATTTAGCCAGCTGCTGAATGAGGTCGATACAGAATTGGACACTGCGTGTTGTAGTGTTGAAGTAGTTTCCAAATTACTTCTCGGTCTACGCTGTCGAAGGCCTTTTCGAAGTTGATGAAGTTGAGATAGGGAGGGATTTTACTGCCATTCTATACTTTGTTCTATGATGACGATGCTCAGAGTTGCAAATGGTCAAATCATTAATATTGATTAAATTGCATTGTCTCGATTTGGTACTATTACTAACAACATACATCATCATGTAAGAATGAAAAAAAATCGGTGTAAATGAGAACCACTTATAGTAAAATGAAATTTGCGATATACACCATACTTTTCTTTGGAGAGCAAAATTATTCAGATTACATTATATGGAGCTCTTGATGCCGTTAATAGCAACAAAGAAAGAAAATATAGATCCATAACGCCATATACTACTAATTGATTGAAGTGAGTAGTCGCATACTACTCACATCAACCGGTAGCACTTGCTAGCCAACCAGGTCAAGGTAATCTAAACACCGGACTGCCAATTCTCTCAGGTTACGCCAAATTCAACAACAGTGTACCCAGTTTAACTCAACTGAGATAGCCGAATTAGTAGAAACCGCCTGAACTCTGGCTAGTTACTTAGGTGAACAGGTATTATGTTAAATCAAATAGGCAATCTACAATTTACCCAAACATTCTGGGGATTTTCGAGGGTCCTTGATATATAAATTTTGGGACAATGTACCAATTTTCGCCGAAATTCCACCCCTCAAAACTCCTAGACTTGCCTGAATTACACCCAAAATGCACAAATTATCCTAAAACTGCCTTCATAGTTTTTGATTGGGTTACACAGTCCGAGGTGAAATTACACCAGAGTTGATGTCAGTGGTGTTGAATAACTCGCTTCAGTCAATTAGTAGTACATGACGTCATGAATCATTTATACTACCTGTAACTTATTCTTGTTTTCAAAATACAAAGAGAGACCATATCTCTAGTTAGATGACCTTGTCGTAGTACCGCATTCTTTTGAACCCACGCCAAGTTAAGTGAAACACTAATCTACCCTGAACCATTTAACGATTTCAAATATTTTTTTCGTGTTTTTGTTAAATTGTTTATAAACAGCTCTATCGATGGATAGCAGAAACTAGAAATTGGAAAAATTTAATGTAATTTTTGGCTTTACAATTGAACTGCGGATTAATCGGAGTATCTTAATGAAACAACATTTCCTTTTAATCATATGAAAGCAAACAAGTTTAATAAAAGAAAGAGACCAATGTCAATTAGAATATTAAAACATAAAAACTTAGCTACACTCAGACTGATTGACCCTGCTAAGTTAAATAACCTAGAAGAAATATCAACCACTGCATTGCATTGCATTCACTTGCATGTAGCCACATAATGTTGTCGGTGGGACAATGGGTGGAAGTATTAAAAAGTGATATGGTTAGGTGGAGAGTGAGGTTATTCGAAATCATGGAGAAGATCTGTACCTCAGATGGATGATATTGAAATAGTTGTGTTCTGTCTAAGCTGGCCGATTTAATTGCGAAGCGTTTGTCGTCCACCTTCTAGAAAACATCGTCTCACCACAGGCTTCAGTATAAAATGAACTTATTTGAATTCTCTACGAATGACGTAATTGTATCTCCTGGTAACCACTGTCGTGACTGGTTGTTAATTTACGCCTCTGTTGATCATTATTTTTGACTTGGAATTCGGACTTTCTTGTCAGCTGTCAATGGTAAATTTGTAGTCCCCGCCGGTAATATTGGTCGGTGGTCGTGCTAAAATCACGAATTGACAAAAATCAGAATTCATGGGCTATTGAATCGGGTTCCAGTGGCTGAATTCTATAATAATGTGTTTGTTAATTGTTGATTCACTTGAGTACCAGGCTGCCAGGAATTCCCTGGTGTTTCCTTTATTTAAAATCTCTACATTATCCTAATCAAATTGGTGTCCATAATTATCCACATGCATTGATACGAAATAATACATATATCATGTCTTTTTACAGCCAATTTGTGTTCTTGGATTCTGATTCGAAGGGGACGCCCACTATGGTCGATGTAATGTCTGTTACAGTGCATAGAATTTATTTTGCAAATGGCATTAATTTCATCTCCTTTTTCTGTTGGATCTTTTGGTTGGCACAATATCGAATGAAGTGATTGTGTTGGCTGGTTTCTCTCTAGAGAATAGCTTAATGTAATGCATTCTTATGAAATGTACTCAAAACAGTCTACTGGTTATGAACAACCTAAGCGGTTTGTCTACTGAAATGTAACAGATCAAGTACAAAAAAGCTAGTTTGCGTAATAATGAACATAGCAAATCATAAGCAAGTATTCTGCATGATGTATCATTGAGCATTTTTCACTCTAAGTAGAATACATTTACCTAAACACACAACTTTCAATGTACGACAGAGAAAAAATCTATTAATAACTATAGTTTTGGAGACTATTCCTAACTCAGACATGATTTCAGAATGAGTCTGAATATAAAATATGATATATATATATATATATATATATATATATATATATATATATATATATATATTTATAGAGGGAGAGAGACACACAGAGAGAAATACGTCAATGTGGGAATTGATGTATATTGGACGTTTCAACAAGACCAACAACAAAAGAACGAACATATTTGCAGGCAAATAGGAGCTCGTCTTATTCCGTAGATTCTTTTCAACTGCGTATATCCTAAACAAAATCAGAATATAATCTACAAAATTTCTTAGCATACTTTTTTTCACAATGACCTTGAGTTACAGATAGAAAGAATAAGCAACATAATTCCCCCAAAAATGATGTAAGTAGACAAATTATTCACGGTGTTGAAAAGGCTCTAACTATTTGTAGAATAATTAGATAAGAGGCGGCGCTACAGTTCAGATTTCACTTAGAAATAGAGACAGATTAGAGACAGAATACAAGATCGGACAACTGATTAAATTTATACACATAATATAATGAAAAGTTCATGAGGGTAGAAATGAAACACCGAAGGTAAAATTATGACACAGACAAACAATTAAGTAAATTTGTGAGCTCAAAATTGAATAGATTGTTACGCAACAGAATAAAACACAATAGTATATGAATAACTCAATTAGAGTTAGCAGGGCAGTGACAGACTAGTCATACAATCTTTCTGTATAAAGAGGTTAGGTCGAAGTCTTTTGTGACAGCGATGACTTCTGCGGATCGAAGTAACTATAGCTTTCTTTGAATATTGATTATTTTGAAAGCATGACTAATTTTGTAATGTATGCCCCATGTTAAACAGCCGTCTGACAGTTGCACTTGAGAACATTTTGAAAGCTTGTTCAGAGTCCACGTAATAAAACGAGCTCGTATTATCCTGCAAATAAGTTCTTTGTTTCTTTGTTAAAACTAATAAAGAGAACCAGTAGTATATTAGATGGCTTGAGATAATCTGCGGGAAGCCGTGTTTGACTTAGGTTTCGAGCATGGCGGCACTTATCAGTCAACAAGGCGCATCTGCAACCTCCAAGGAATTTATGTCACTTCTGAGATTCGAACTAGGGTCAACCAGTGCTATTTACTTTACCACTGAGTTATTGGCGCATAAGATTGACCTGCTGTAGGACTGTAATGGATACTTCGATTAGACACTAGATAATAAGCGGTGTCATACGTCTGTTCCTCAGTGTTGGTGACTGACTAATTGGTGTGAACATAGAACTTTGCACAGAAGTGCAACAGTTCGAGTTGCTACACTTCATATAGCACCCAAACGGAGGCAAAAAAGAGATTCGGAATAACGATAACCAGCAGGAATGTGAAGAGGAAAGAATAGTAGCACGACAAAACAACAGGGTTTTTATGAGCATGGGAAATCACAGAGAGTGAATCTATCCAAGCCATATCAACAATTATCATTGGTTCTTAGAATCCTGAACACCGCAACCAGGCAGTCCATACCTCCCTATGTGGTTGACTCAAAGTAACTATTAAACATTTCGTAGACTGATTCTAAGTTTTAGTTTATCATTCATTAACTCTTTTCCAAGCCTGATCAATCCTACCTATATTAGCTAGCATTTCCCGTCGAGAAATGCCATGGCTAGGCATGCGTGCGTATCACATGCCCTAGCCATCTCAATCAATGCAGCTTCACGCTGTCATCGATTGACTTTCACTCACTATCTAACACTCGACGCTTGAGCTCATTATTATCACCCTATTGTACCACCTAACACGGAAGATGGAATGCTGACTGACTGAATTCTCTCAGTGAAGTTTGAAATGTAGCTACTAAGGTAAAATGACTTTATTTTCTTAATTTTTTTTAATTTTTTTATTACAGCTTGATTCCACACCGTGTTCTTGGTACAAGTATGGAATTTTCAGCATGGATATCGGTAGCCCAAATTTTGCAGGCCGACCATAGATATCAGGTGTGCGTCGGCAGGGGATCAAACCTCGGACCATGTGCATGGTCGGCGAGAGTTCTAACCACTGTGCCACCGACGCACCGACACTTTGAAGTGGCGCTAGGTATTTAGTTGAGTTGATGTATGCTTGAAGAATTAAAAATTCATACTGACTTTCATAATCTCTATACTTATAACCAAAGCAGAACGTTTCTCAAGTGTTGGTTTGTGAGGATTTGATTGGTTACAGGATTTCATCATGAGCTGACATTAGTTAGAGAAGGATTGGAAAACCAGCTGGGAGTACTGGATAGCTGTTTCGTCCTAGTTTGGGACTCTTCATCAGTATGCACCCACCACAACGGTTTGAACCCAGGACCTTTTGGTTACATGGTGAGCTCGTATGCCATTAAGCCACTGGGACCCAATCCAATGGCCCATGAATCCTAACTTCTGTCGATTCACGACAGCGCGACCCCTAGCCAATGTCTTCGGCGAGTATTTGTCCTCACACCCGACTTCTCACTAGAACCCCAAGTAACTACCTACCTGAATAGGGCTAGTCACTAGTGAGCATCTCATTGAGCATACAGTCCAGTACTCCTAGGTTTTCCAATGTTTCTCTAACTAATGTTAGCTCAGAACGTTTTTGTTTATGTCTTCAAACTCATTATTATTATTATTTTAGAAGACAACGTAGAGAAAGTGAACTTCGTAAAGCAGCTGAATTAGCACTACAACAAAAAGATGAACATATACGTCGATTAATTGAAGAAAAGGAGGCTAGAATTCAAGAGGTAAACCTTCTGTTTTTTTGGTATTTGTGATGTTTTATTTTGCTTGTTCCAAGTGTAGTCCATTACTTCTTTAAAATCCTTCTAATGCAAAAATTTTATGACTCAGTTGCGTCATAAAATTACCTTGTTTTTCAAAAAAAAATTTTTTTTTATTTAGCTCGTCTTTTAAGTCATAAAAATCCCCATAAATAAAGAGAATCATTAGTATACTTTGTGTTAAGTTGCAATAAACTTTCAAGTTGCATTGATAGCTGGAAATATGCAACTTCATAGTTTATATGATAATAATATCAGCCCAGTAATCTAAACACGCCATTGATTCGAACCCTACAGTGTCTTGGAATTTTCTCTGAAATTCAGCCATTACTTTAAGAAGAAAGAATTGAATTAAGAATGCCACTGATGGCATTGTGTCAGTCAGTTATAATTATTAATTAACTGTATAATAATTATTACTATTTTTCTTTTGGGTTCTAAGTGTAACATAGGGATTCAGCAGCACAGCTCCACCCACCTGCCCCTGTTCCTACGGTTCTTTTTAGTTGGCTCCATGATTGCCCATAAACTCTCATCTCCTCCTTGTTCACCCTCAAACGCCAAACTAGTCGTTTACTGTTCGAGTTCCACTCAACTTGAAGACCTATCGCTTAGATGTCACTCAATGGTCTCCAATGTCCATGCTTCCGATCCATCCTCATTTCCTTCGGTGTATTTGTTGGGCAATATAATATCTTGGTTGGAATCCTAAGCAGAGCTCTTTGTCGCCAATCCTTGCCGACCGGCCATCTGATCTTCGGTGTGGAGGCAGCTGTACACAAAAGTATGAAACACGCTCTTCGAAATACTTTACGTGATGCGCTATATATAGGAGCAGTGACTTGACTTCAGCGTTGAAAATCTGAGTCTTGTTCGTTATGCTGATTGCGGAAGATTTACACAGTGATTTCAGGTCAATGCAGGTCTGTTTTTGCTTTTCCTATCTTGCCTTCAACATTCTCATTTTAGAATGGTAAGCTATGATGCTCAGCTCTTAAGTGCTTATGTCCTAGAATGGAAGTGTAGTAATGTCAAAGCGAATATGTTTGTTAGCGTCGATTAACGACGTTTTCGACAAAGTTGTTTTGTAGAAATATATATAGCAAGATGTCGGTTTGAAGGGATTTGATTGGTTACGTGGTTGATCACAAGCTGAAATCAGTTAGAAAACCATTATAAAGCCTGGGAGTACTGAAGAGATGTTTCGTCCCACCATTGCTCGAACTGAGAGGCTACCCTATATATAGACAAAACACCTTGATTGGTTTATATTTGAATTTTATTTGTAAACTTATATATATATATATATATATATATATATATATATATATTGATAAAATACGTGTAATTCTGCTAAAGAAACTGTGGTTTACACAGAGACACGTTTAGAAAATGTCATTTTTTTAAGTAGGATGAGCGCACAGATCATTCCAGGAAATTCGCAACAGGGAGGGTGTCAATTTTGTGTCTGGAGTCTCCAGGATATTGAGAATCAGCAGTTGAAGGCGGTGAAATCAGTCAAACCACTTCCACTTTACTTTACTCCTCTAAGAGTACCACACTATGTTTTTTAGTACACAAAATACTCCCATATGAGTAGTGAAAATACATAAAACTCATTGTTACATTGTAACAACTCTTGTTCAACTGTTGATCTACAGAGATTTCATCGGTTACAGGACTTCATCATGAGCTGAAATCTGTTAGAGAATCCTTGGAAAACCTAGGAGTACTGGACAGCTGTTTCGTCTCAGTTTGGGACACTTCATCAGTGAATTGGCAAAAGTTGGAATACATGAGCATTAGATCGCGTCCCACCGGCTAGCCTTGTAAGTGGAGGGCTCTGGGTTCAAACCCTAGCAGATGCATGCTGCCGAAGAGTCTCAAATTAAGACGAAACAGCTATTCAATACTTCCAGGTTGTTTTCCGATAGTTCTCTAACCCATGTCAGCACATGCTGAAATCTTGTAATCTCTAGTTCAATTATAGTGAATATCAAAGGAAACCAGTTATATGTACGTGAGCCGTTTTATCATTTGTTGTACACCCTATATGAAAGAACTATTTCACTCAAATAATCATTGTTCGAATATATACTTTTTTTTCCTGTATTTTTGGTTTGTTTTAGTCAAGAAATTTAGCTTTAGCAGCTGAACGTTTACGTGAAGAAATGCTGCGTGTTTACAATTTGGATAGTTTTGATAAAAAAGTTCACAAAGTCACCTTAATCAATCATATGGGTTTAAATGAAAGGATATAATAGTAATAGTAATAATAATAATAATAACAATAATTGCCTATGTCTACTACAGTTTCAACCTACCACCTTTCCATAAATGGGAACGCATTTAAACCATATGCCATACTATTGATAACCACAACCACTAGGCAAAATTTCGTATTCCACACAGGAAATGCATGAAAAGTGATACATGAACTCACACATACAAACACATTGGAAGAAAAGACTATCATGTTATTTAATCTTTTATTATTACTCTCACTTTGTATATTTTATTATTATTATTATTATTGTGATCACTATTCATTTCTTTTTATCCTTTAAAACAGTATCAATTTTCATTAGCCTTGTATGAAATCGATCTAGTACAGCTTGAAAGCTTGATTAATGCAACAATTTCACTTAACATATCTTTCTGTTCCAATTGGAACTACACAGCTTCAAGCTTTAGTAGCTTTGATGCTTCAGAGTAGCGGTGAAGTGTTTCTTTTATACAGAGTGAGGTTGCTAGCCTCACTCATTCCTTACCCCCCCCGTCCCAGCCTTCCTTCTTTACTGGGCTTACTTACTACTGACTAAAGGAGGTTTTTTAAGAGTACGTCGACCGAGAATTGAGTATTATGCCCCACTAAACCCCTGACTCATACTAATAGATTTCACGGGATCCTCATTTTCTTTCATATCACTTTATTATTCAGACTTTTACGTATCAAGAAACAGTGGAATTATTTTATAACAATTAGTTTGCGTGTTTTTTTTTGGTTTGTTCCCGCTGAAAGTGAAATTAGTTTTGTTTATTGTCGTATTTTTCATTTCCATTTGTCTTGTGTTTATTATTCTTAATAATTATTAACAAAAAAATGGATACTACTCTTCAAAGTAAAATGAAACTTAGTTTACTTTATCATTGTAAATCAATCAATTTTGGGTTAAATTTTTATACAGAAGTAAAATTCCTGCTTATCTGTTTATTAGTTTTTGTCAAAAATTATTTGTACAACATTTCGTCAGTTACATTATTATTATTATTCCCCTGGGTTCCAATAGGAACATAGGGCTTCAACAACATATCCCAGCTTTGTCCTCTTCAACTGGCCCTACGGTTGCTCATAGTCTCTGACCTTCCCCTCGCACTGACGACCCACTCGTTGTCAGGCTCCAGTCGGAGGCCCAGCGCGATGTCCCTCGACGGTCTCTTCTGTGTGTACTTAATCCATCTAAATTCTCTTCCTAATATTTGTTGGGCAATAAGATCTTGGTTGGTTAGTCTCACGTTGCTAATTCTTCCCCTCTGGCCACCTGATCTTCAAAACGGAACCAGAGAAGGCAGCTATAGATAAAAGTCTACCACAGGCTTTTCGAAATGCTTTCATAACGATCAGGCCAAGTTTCTGACCCACAAAGAAGAACTGATTTAACATATGAGAAATCCGAATTCGGTTCTTCTTTTGAATGCAGAAGGTATTCAAACTGATTTCAATGTGACTCACCTTTCGCTATTCTGGTTTTAACATCCGTAATCGTTCCACCTGTAATTGAAACGATGCTTCCTAGATAAATGGAACAAGTAACTCCTTTCGAATTTCTTCCATTGGTAGTGATTGGCGCTGTTTGTTGTTGCTGTTTGTCGGTTATCTTCATCAACCCCGTCTTCTCAATGTTCACTATAAGTCCCATCTTCCCTACCTACCTATACTGTCTGCCAACTTCTTGGTTTTCTCCTGTAAGTCTTCAAATTTATGTGACATGAGACATAAATCTTTCGCAAGGTCCGAATCTCCTGTATTCATCTTGTTGGTCCAACGTATTCCTATCTCCTCGCTTCCCACACACGGTGTGCCGTATGATCCGGCTCACCAGAAGTAAGAATAGCATCGGTGATAGTAGACAGTCAACCTTATCTTACTCCTATATTCACTTCAAACGCCTCGCTGAGTTTTTCGTTGTGGATCACCTGAGACGTGGCATTGTCATATAACCAAGTGTTGAATGAGGTTGATAAATATTGGGGGCACTCTATAGTACTGTAATAGTTCCCACATTACTTAGCGGTCAAAACTGTCGAAGGCCTTTATAAAGTTGATGAACTTCAGGTAGAGGCTTGACTGCCGTCCTATACTTTGTTCGATGATGCATAGAATTTCAATTAGATCAGCACATGAATTGCATGGAGTCGGATAGTTTGACCTAATTATTTAGACTAATGATTTTAGCTATCCAAACAGTGATACTTAGTTGCCAACTACTTTCTCGAGAATGATGTTAATAAAGTGTAAGTTTTTCTGTAGCGATTTTATTGGTTTCAAGTTTAACCATGGAATCACTGAAAACCAGCCAGGAGTACTGGACAGTTGCTTAGTCTTAGTTTGGGATTCTTCAGCAGTAAACACCCATGACCCCCACCCCTCGGCAATCGAACACAGAAGTTTCACGTTACAAGGTTAAAGACATTGAACATTTAGCCACTGGGAACCAACCTCTATGGCCCAAGAATTCTAACTTCTATCGCTTGACGACTTTTAACGCCACCACCAGCCAATGTCATCGGAGAGTAGCTGTCGTCCATAACCGATCTCGTGCACCCTACTACTGGTCACAAACTTCAGACAGCTTCATCATGTAGTCACTGCTTTAGTGGGTGTTAGACTAATTTTCAATTCATAAGAAAAAGATGCAAACAGCAAAGAAAATTTTCTTTCCGACGCTTCATTTTCACTAGCTGTTTAGTCGTAATCATACTTAACAAAGAAATCAGAAGACCAATCAAATACTGGCAAACTTTGTCCTCAAAAAAGTATTACGCAGTGTAAGGTGTAACTAAATGAAGGTTAGAAAAGAGGAAGAAATTGGCATGACGTAACAAGCGTGACAAAATGACTAATCCATATAATTGTGTAGAACTTTAAAGTGTTGGTTTGGGGGTTGGGGTGGAGGAGATTCGATTGGTTTCAAATTTTATCATGGATTATTGACTAAATTATCGACGACATCGATAGATGATATTCTGATCATTTGTAATGATCACTTGCACACATGTATAAACGAATTTAAAATGTTAATTACGACTGAACTGTTAGCGGATTGGTTTAGAGTTCAAAGTATCGCCACCTAGTGGATCATAGCTTTAATTCCTAGTCTCCTTACTTCACTTCTTGCAGTACAGTAGAGAAAATAAGCTATAAGACAACAAGTATGACACTACAACAGAAGGCTGAGTACATCACGAGCCACAGACTATCCTGCAGCCAACCTCGTCCCCGTCTATCGAACAAATCGCTCTTTGGTGCAATCAAAAACCGATAGATATTCTTCATATGCTAACTGCAGCTGTATACACAAATTTACATGTATCTGCGGGAACAGTTACATTGGAAGGACAGAAAGAAGGGCATATCTACGATTTTCTGAACGTGTACCATAAAGCTTATGTCTAAAGGGAATAAATGCTTTAAACAGTGCCATCCATCGTCAGGCATCTCCTTGACATGAGGTCATGAGGTGGACGTCGAAAAGTCGTTCAATATTATCAATGGGAAAAAGAGCTCGATTCTCCTCAAGTTTGCTGAAGCCATCTCCATCAAGCGCCTGAAATCTGATTTGTGGGTTCAGAAAGAGACAGTTATCAGTCTTTCTTTGCCCTGGTAACTGGATATTTTCACCTCTCTTTCATCTGAATACAAAATGCTGAAAAGTTGCCATTGTGTATGATTATTATCGTTCGGAATAGTGTTTAATGTTATATATATATATATATATATATATATATATATATATATATATATATATACATTATTACTGTATGCATATATTGATCGATTGGTTTTTGTTAAAAAGGAACTCTGTGCAATTATGTTAGAATTGTTTTTGTAGATATATTCAATAATGACTTTGGGCTATAAGCAGCTGGTGAAAAGCCAACTAAATAAATGATGGTACCATTTTATTCTGCAAAACTGTAGTTCTCGCTTTGTTCAAATTCATTAAGGGGAATAAATGTATGAAATATTCCACAGAAACTGAATAGATTACTCATAATGAAACTATAATTCAACCAGTGAGTAAAACGTTTCATACTTCGACTGGTATTACAATCTACTGTGTAAATCCCGGAAATATCTGACCAATAAGCAGAGTGAAGAAGCTCATTTCGAAAAATACACAAGCGAAGTGGGAGGTCTTCGACACAACCGTTTATAACGATAAACGTTTTGGACTGAAAAGTCAAAAAGACATGACCTTCTACCGATTCAATTTTATAGTCTTAGCAACAGGATACAAGGTGAATTTCGGGAACATAGACTATCAAGAAAATAAAAGATGAACGGCAGAATGTGAATTAGACGCGTCTATCTTGATGTATGCGCCAGTGTTTTAACGATACAATACTCACAAACGACGCCGAAGGTCCAGGTTCGACTCGCAAACCTCACCTAGTTTACCGGCCGACAACAAACCAGGTAAAGAGGAAAGATTGTGTGTGAGGTTAAAAACCCATACCGTGAAAACAACACCGCTATTGAAGCTTTAAAGCTTGAAGAAGCCACTTGGAACGCTAGGGATGAAGAAAAATGTTGATGTATGCGTGAACAGTTCATCCACGAGATTCGCTAAATTAACAAGTCATTAATCTTATTACAGCGATTCACAAGCTTCTTTGTCTGATATGGATGCATGTAATCACATAGTTCTCATCACCACATAACAATGTTTCTTCATCAGAAAATATAATGAAACATCAACAATCTACTCTCAGCTATTAAATCCTACCTACTTATAAGTAGGGCTTAGTGATTTCAATGAGCAAGGTGGTTACAGTACGAAATTACTGTCTACATTAATTAAGATGACCACCTGTTTTCAACATAGAACTTTGCACCGATATGCAACAGTTAAAGTCGCCACACTCCAAGTAGCACACAAAGCAAAAGAAGAAAGGCAAAGTAGACAGGGATTGAGGCAAAATAAATAGTTCCATTGGAAATCATAAGTTACAAGGAGTGAATGCATCTGCGCCAGTGAGAACGACTTTCAGCCATATCACCGAGTCTCTACCCTTGATGGGTTTAGCATCCTGAGGACCCCAACCAGTCAGGAAGTCTACACCTTCCTACGTGGCTTAAACTAACTGTTGTAAATTTTATTGACTGGTGCCATGTTTTGGTTCGACCGCCGCTAGCTCTTTTCCAGCCTGACCCATCCTATGTCAGCTATCATTGCCCATCGAGGAGGGCGACGGCTACGCTAGGTATGCGTAACACATGTCCTAGCCATCTCAGTCGATGTAGCTTCACAGCCTCGTCGATTGATCCCCCCTCCTTACATAGCACCCGATCGAGGCCTAACCTCAATATTACTCACCCTGGTATACCACTTCACACGGGAGATAGAACGCAGGCACTTATTATCAAAGACAGCCAGCCTTTCCACATCTTCCACTTTCAACGGCCAAGACTTGTCTGATATATACTAAACTGCATCATTCTTGGAGCCTGCGAAATACCCTACTGACAATGAAAAAACAGGTATTTCGCTAGGTACAACTTCATATTCCTAACCATTTGCCGAAACTAGAAGAAACGAAATTACCCCAGGCTCTTGAAAGTTAGATGCTTTAGTCCGTTTGCAGAAGTCAGATGGGACAACATGATAAATATCGTGTCCAGACTAAAATTACAGTATAATGCATACTGGCAGATTAATCGATGTGGCTGACGATTAGCACCATCAGCGACTAGGGATATGTTACACGTGCCAAACTACTATCTCACCTCTCTCTCTCTCTCTGGACGAATGACGTCGTCTGAAGTAACATTATGTTAAAAAAACCTAAACTTCACTTCTCTACGAATACCATCAGAGCAATAATTAGAAAATTCAAATCTTCCCCGAATATTCAGCTATGCGTTTCCGCAAGAACTCAAGGCTTAACATATCTGTACATTTGTAGTAACGCAAAAAGAAAACACAATAACCGCCTTTCAAATGATATACGAAAAATAAGACTTATTAAGGTAAGATTAAAAATCTCAATTTATTGTAACATTTTGCATTCACATGAATGAATGCATATTTTATTGACAGCTTGAAAGCTTATATAATTTGTTTTATATACACATACAAGACTATTTTCATAAGAATTCATGTAAACAAGACTTGAATTCATTCAGCAGATTGAATGCAGATGAATTTCAATAATATTATCCCAACCCCCTTGGGTTCCTAATGTGGGCTTCACCACAACAGCACATCTCCACTTAATCCGCAATTCTCTGCCGTTCTTTTCAGCTGGCCTCACAAGTGCTCTCATCTCCTTCTCAGTCTATCTTCTTCATATCACTCTTGGACGCCCCAACTCGTTGTTGCCCAATTCGGCTTCCAGCTGAAAAGATGGCCTGGTGTGCGATACACTTGCAAGTGAAGTTCATCCTATTGCTCTGTTAATCTCAAATGTGCTAAGAGAAACATATAAAACTCATCCAACTGCTTCTTTTTTTATCTGATGCTTTACACGATTTTATTTGTAAACAGAAGCTCAGAAAGAGAGAGAGATGTAAATGTATATAAAAAAATGGTAAATAAGAAATAATATTTTATACACAAGTCAAGTAAAAGAATAGAAAGTAATGGAAATGAGAATTCAACTATTTCACATATGATACAGATAATGAAAGTGTGTCAATGAAGTCGTCGATTTCATTGGGATTGAATTTTTCGAAAAAAAAAACAAATCTTTGTGAAGTAGTAGTAGTAGTAGCAGGGAGAGTGTGTTATAATTTGAAGAATTACAACAGCATTTTTGTTTTAATTAAACTCACAGACAGTGATTATTTGTACGAGAATAATAAGAATATTGAAATGGAAATAAAATCACTAACACATCACCGTCATCATCACATACCGGGAAACATGATAAGTGGTTCACTTTTGCCTGATACACACTGAATAAATCCACTCTCTGAAGTGGTACCACCACCACCACTACACTCAGACATTTGATTCGATGGATAACTGCTGACAGGACAACGTGTATCCACTAATACAGATAAATTCGAAGATGTCTGACTTAATGCATGAATTATAGAAGTGGAAGTGACCAAGGTATTACTGGGTAGGCCAACAAGACTTATATTACTAGTTTCATTGTTTGTATTGGATACATAAGTTGGAATTGATGTAGATATCGATGAAATCGGTGTGGTAATGTATGTCAGGGAGGTTTGAAGGGAATCAGAATGATTTCTAAATACATCAGTACTAGAATCTGCACTAGACTGGGAATTGACTTCAGTGACAGCAGATGAAGAAACTAGGGGAGTTAGACTGTTTGAATCGATGATATTTAAACAGGTAGGATCTTTTGAATTAGTTGACATATCAAGAAGATGTTCACTGGAACTGACAGATTCTTTAGCAATACTGTCGGAGTCATCATTGGCCTCTGATTTAGATATAGTGAGACCACGACGACGAAAAACTGAATGATGACTGCCACCGGTTACAAGCTGTTTATAAACAGCGCACGATTTTCTAAAATGGAATAAGGAAATTTTAGTACCATAGCACAAATAATGAAAGGAACATGTATAATAAACATAGGCATAAGCGTAAAATGCCCACATGAAAAAAGGTCAGTCTACTACAAGATATACTCATTTCGAGGTGGTAAATGATTAGCTTTAATATTTCGTCATGAACAGATGCCAGCTAAAAAACTGTTAATGACAAGTACATGTCTCCACAAGAGACTGGACGCAAAGCCATTAGGCTACAAGGTGAGCATGTCTCCATTCATTACACTGGGTGAGTCTACTTTAATCTAATGCCTTAAACTAATAATGCCAGTAGAATATGTTACTATAAAGACGTATGAATCAGGTTATCCTATAAGATCAAGAGTTGATTTTAGTCATATCCTACTTATGAGCTGCCTTAACACACTTAGCAATAATACTATGTCCCATCACAGCGATCGTTCAAATTCTGTAATAACCAATTCAGAAGATATGAAAATGAAGTTAGATGGCATTCACATAGAAAATAATGAAAATAAAATGGTCAGTTTTGACGTAACTCGTCTTTATACTAATATATCAGTTAATACGGCTTTGGAAGCCAGTTAGAAAAGAATTAAATAACTGCTGCTGATCCCGAACTTATTCACGGGACACAGCTAACGTATTGAGAAAATTATCTTGGAAATTAAACTATGTCCGGCGTCCACTGTCTTCAAATGCCATGGCAAAATATACAGACAAACAGGGACAGAAATCGGATTACTAATATCCCCAATTGTAACAGATATAGTTATGGATAGTTGGGGAAATATGGCTCTTAATATATTTAATCCGAAGATATGATGAACATATGTGGATGACACTTTCACAGTGTTAAAAACAGAACATAATCTCTAGCTTCTTCATATATATAAACTTAATAGTAGGATGGAATGCAATTTACGTTTAAGCATAAAAAGCTGAACAAGAAGAATTGGCTATGGTGGGTTGTAAAATAAAACGAACAGAAGGTAAACTATGCACTACCGTTTTTAAAAGATAGATTAAATATTTGGACTTTAGTTCGTCTTATCCGTTATCTACAAAGACAGGCTAAATTAAACGTCTAACAAACAGAACTCTATGTAGTATATCATAAAACCTAAAGAATGAGATGAAACCGATAGATGAAACGTTGGTGCTAAACAACAGTTCCATAAGAGATCACAAAAGGAAACAAAAAAGTTGAAAAATAGCAGTGGAACTGTTTGACATAATATAAATAAGGAAATATTTAAGTCATCTACAGTTTTACCATATAAGGAAGGGAAAAATCTGAAACCCTACGTAGGATTTTTAATAGAGCAAGAATTAGGGTGGTGTTTACACCTACAAACTCACCAAGCGACAGACTCTGTAAGCTAAAGGACCATATTGACCCAACTAGACAAAAATAATCCACAGAATAGCTTGCAATGACTATGAGGCCAAATACATAGGTCAGATCAGTAGATCCAAGGAAGTCAGATCATCGAAACATGAATTTAGACAAGTTTAAAATGACTAAACCCACGAAGATGAGTAATTTCAAGACAAAACTCAGCAATTGCAACCTATGCACTAACACACGATCACATAAGAGGATGGGACAGAGCCACGATTTTAAAATGAAATATAAGCAAGACGGAGGCAGTGGTTGACCACTCAATCTTTGTTCATCGAATCTACGCCTAACACATACAATAGGAATGATGTGAAGACAATACCACAGACATGGGAAATACTGCTACTAATAAAATGAAAGGATGAAAAATAATATGATTGCATAAACGAAGTTCGAAAATTATGTGAATGCGTCGATATGATTATGAACAATAAATTGTGCTCAGGTCATCCTTAAAAGCACACTGTGTGCTTTTATCGAATAAATTTATTCTGCGATGAAATTATACTCTAACACAGTTCACAAGTTCTATTCTAATGCCTAAAGTGTAATTACCGTTGGAATAATCTCAAGCACATTGAGTGCAGTGCTAAAAAGTACTCGTGATAACTTATTTTTAATTTTCCATAATCAAATATGAACAGTCTGACTAGGTGGCACATCGGTAAAATGCTCGCCAACCACCAAGCAGGTGGTTCGGAGTTCGATCCCCGGCTGACGTACTCCTTTACCTCGCTAACCCAATAATAAGACTGGTAAAGAAATAAGGTTGGATAAGAGGCTAGCAATTGCATCCCGTAAAAATAATTACCACTGCTGCCGAAACTTTAAAGCTCTCGCTTGAAGCCCTATGTTTCACAGGGGACGTAAAGGAATTTTTAAAAAGCAGAAAAATTCTGACTAGGAGTAAGTTAGTCGATTCGATAGTGAAATTAGGTGGCTGGGTAACTGGATGATACAGACTAGAATCACCGAGATATGTCAGCGGAATATTTTAAGTACACCTTGCTGACAAGTGCCAACGAACCCGAAACTTAGATTCCACACTTCCTTTTTACTGACTTTTAACACCTAAAATTACATAATGAAATAGGATAAATTATTAAAAGCATAGTTGAGAAGAAATCAGTTTTCTCACAATGGCATTCAGCAATCAGAAACACTAACATGATGAGATCAGTGGAATTGAAGTAAATCATTCCGTCGTGACTTAATCGTTCTACAAAACCTTGACACTGAGTGGAATGTTACGGTGAACACTACTCTACCAAAGTTTACATAATCATACATCCTGTTAATGAGTACTAATAGACAAACCTTGACTGCATAGCTTCATAGAAACTGATTCTTGTATGTCAGACTACTAACGACTCCATGAGTAACAAAGTGCCATCACTATACTTCTGAAACTGACGATTGATCTCACGATTCAGAAGTTATGGTAAGCAGTGATGAAAGGTTACATTTGTGAAATACAAACACGTATTCAGTATTATTTATATAATACCCTGCAATGGTTATGAGATCAAATACATAAGCCAAAGTAGTAGGACGGGGTCAATTAGACTCGCAGAGCACAAATACCTAGCAAAACCGTGATCAGTTGACGATAAAGAGATAAGAAATCTAGAAAATAGTTCAGGCTATAGCACTACATGAAATTACACACAACCATACGATAGGATAGGACAAGGTGACAGTCCTAAAGTCTAATGTAACCGAGTGGTGCGGAAGACTGATAATTTTTTTCTATTCTTTTGCATTCCTAGTGAGCTTCAAGTTCGGGCCTCGAAGTTTCGGTAGCAGTCGCCTTATCGTTTACAAGGTGAGGTCGCTAGCCTCACACCCAGCTTTCCGGGTGCGTCAGCTGCGGAACGAACCCAGGACCACCTGCGTGACTGACGAGCAGTCTATCGCTAAACCACCGACGCAAGACATTGATAACAAAAGCTTCATTTATCAAATCAACTGAGAATGTGTGCAACAGGAATGATTCGAAATGTGTCCCGGATATCTGCATAATTTTACTACCCCTATAATGAACGAGAATGAATAAAGAGAACTATAAAAATCAGGTTTCGAAATTGTCTAGTTACAACTGATATGATTATGAAGAACGTCATTCAATAAACAATGGTGTTTCCTTGTGTGTGATATAACCCAATTAAACAAACTGATATGAATTAAACAGAAAATGACCTTCACGTTAAAAATTATACAAAACACTAACTAACCTATGCGCATAGAAATTCGATCGCCATTTACAAACACGACCACATGGACATGTTAACTGCAAAGATTTTGAACAGGAGAAAACATGTTCTGCAAAATATTTTCTTTTGTGATAGGCATTTCCACAGTGAGTGCATTTATATGGCATTAAACAATTGTTGACTTGAGATGCTTAAAGGATAAAAATAATTATAAAATACCAAAAATCTAATGATTACAACTATGGTGAGATCCTCTGGAGTAGCGACTACCACTTTCTGTTCCAACCTAAAATTTTTTTAAAGAAAATAAGTATTCACCACCCGAAAATCAATTGAAAACTTACTGAATGTGAACTCATCTCCCCGTCTTCTTGACTGATATCAACAAATGCATTGCGTTTATCATTTAAAAATAATGATTTAGCATCATGAAAGTTATAAGTTAATCCTAAGAAGGAAATATTTATAATTAAATGAAGTATGAGAATAATAAAGTATACTAAAAACCTGATGAATAGTCATATGATAAATGCTTGGTTAAATTCGGACTGGCATTTTTGATACCATGAAAAGCGAAATAATGTAAAGTTAAATTTTTAACTTCTTTGGCTTTGAATGAACAAAGCAAACATTCGTACATTGGTTCGCCTGTGAATATTGGATTTCCTGAATGATTCTGATATATACACTGAATTGACACCTAGAAAAATAAAAAGTTGGTGGGGAAGGGGAGAGAGAGGAAGCGAATCCGTAAAAAAAAATGATCCATCCACCTACCTCCTTTTCAATATGATTTATTAATGAATGTTCAGTAAGCACTGGACAAGATGTAGATATCAGCTGACAATGTCGACATTGATATAAACTGAATAAACAATTAGCACTGGAATGAGCAGTCTTAAAATGATTGATTAAATTTGATAAAAGGAGTGTATTAAATGAACAATATGAACAGTGTAATACAAGTATACAATTTTGGTTAATCATTGGGCATTGCATTGCAACATCAAACTATAATATAGATCTACAAAAGCAATAAATATAAAAAATTACCTATAATGACTTTGTAGCAATAATAAAGATATTATTTAAACATAAATCAGAACGTCTTAATATATGTATATTTATGTATTATTAGTAAACATTCATTGACTCAAAGAAAGTCTCACACTTTTCACACGACTACATAGTTAACAAGAGTTACTTGTTTTTCCTTTCAATGTGAAACATTTTGTTGTAGATTTGTCAAGTTTATTCTTTCACTTTCACCTTGTTTTTTAATTGATGTAGACCTATACTACCGATGTTCATACTACACAATTTACATTTAGTAAGCATCCACAAGATTTGGATTCTATACTCTCACATACAGTCAACCACAGAGAGAGAGAGTGCACATATTGGTTTTACTAAGCAACAGTATCCATTAACATTAAAAAATGTGAATATTACCACACTTTATATGCATTGTATAAACTTAACACCTTTGTTACATTAGATAACGTGAATAGATAACCTTTGGTGTGAGGAAAACATCATTATGAAAAAAAACTACGGACTTCAACTCTTTCACTCCTACTGAGTCAAAACCCGACCGAAAGCTGCTACCTTGACGTGGTGGTCGGGCTTGAACACCGCAATGACCTAATCAAGCTATACTGGCTGAGACTTATGTCTCTTGAGGTTCTACCATGCCAGGCAGGTTGTTTGGATAGCGGTTAAACAAAAAGCAGCTACCTCATCCAATACCATGATCCAAACAAATTCACAAAATTTCATGCCGGATCGGCCGTGGCCCGGATTAACAACGACCGCGCTTCCTGCTGCCGTGTCACAGGGCGGGAGTGATAAGTATGCTACTGAGGCACACAAAACAACAAAGAACGAACAAAAACAGGCCGCGTGTGACCGGCCACAAGCAGTTGTCCCCTGGGCTCTGCGGTCACGCAACCAACTTCCACGGTGTGGGCAGCCGGGAAGTAACAATCGCCCTCACAATCCAAAACGCACACAAAACCTCTCTAATCCTCACTTATCTTTGTCTTCATCTTCATCTCTATTACCTTACCTTCCCCCCAGTGATGCAACTCCTCTACTTGATGGCTCCTCACTCCCTCTTCACTCTGTGTCCACTAAAAACGACGAAAGCCAAAAAACCACCACGGATAGTCTCCTAAAGCCACGCCACCAATTTCATATAGGAGCATTTAATGTAAGGACACTTTGCCAAATAGGACAACAAGCATCACTAGCTAAGACCCTGGCATCTCGAGCCATTGATGTATGTTGTGTTTCAGAAACACGCATACAAGACCCAAGTGTGGTTATTCACCTAACCCCACCTGGCCAACAGGATGAATCTTCAAAATTCACCTTGAGGGTGTCAGGAGATGCCACAGCTAGTTCACGGGATTAGCTGGCGTAGGGATAGCTCTGAGTACTAGGGCAGAAAAGACATTGCTTGACTGGATCCCAGTAGATAGCCGAATGTGTGCTGTCCGTCTGAACGGATCAGTAAGAAGGAGAAAGGACTGCACTACTCGCCGATGCCTTTTCGTAATCTCCGCCTACGCCCCCACTGACTGCAGTTCGGATGAAACGAAGGATGAGTTCTACCAAAAGCTGTCTAGTTTGGTGAGAAAGGCTAAACGCTCAGATATAGTCGTTCTAGCTGGTGACTTCAACGCTCAAGTAGGGAAATTGTGTCAATCTGAGAAGGATGTCGGTGGCACCTATGGAGTTCCGTGCCAGCGAACCGACAACGGTGACCGTCTCCTACAGTTCTGTTCAGATAATCATTTGTTTCTTGTAAGCACTAACTTTAAACACAAGGAGAGACACTGTTTAACCTGGCGACCCCCATCATCAAACCAACGCTGGACACAAATAGACCACATAGCAATAAGCTATCGTTGGCGTGGGTCGGTAGGAGATTGTCGCTCCTTCTGGAACACGTGTGTAGATACCGATCACGCACTGGTCCGGGCTCGTGTGTGCTTACGACTGAACGGACGTAGGAAACAGCTGGCGGTAAAACCATTACGCCCCCAGCTCGATCAGGAAACTAAATCCCTATTTGAGGAAGAACTAGCTAAACGCATATCTGAATTCGACAGCTGTGCTCACCCTGGAGAAGCCTGGAAGAATATTCAGTCAGCTATAGATACAGCTGTAAAAGCTGTGAATAAGACAAATCCAAAGGTGAGTAAAAACCACTGGATTTCGACTGCCTCATCCGAACTGATAGATGCTAGAAGACTTATTCCGGCGAGCTCCGAATTCAATGAGGAGCGAAAGCTGCACAAAAGGAAACTTACTAAAAGTCTCCGCAAGGACCGTGAACAGTGGTGGGTGACAAAGGCGAAAGAGATGGAAAAAGCATTGGCGATAGGCAACACTAGGCAACTCTTTAGACTCATCACAGAATCGGGCGGGAAAAGGCAATTCATAAGTGAGACTATTTCTGAGAAAAATGGCTCCTTAATTAGCTCTCAGGATAGACGCCTTGAACGCTGGAAAGAACACTTTGAGGAACAATTTAACTTGCCTACAGCCACACTGAACCTCCCCGCCATCCACCACGTACCCGAATGGGATATAGACACTGGTCCGCCGTCTGTAGGTGAGGTTACAAAAGCTATCAGTAATTTGAAACGAGGCAAAGCGGCAGGACCCGACGGAATTATTCCGGAGGTGTTTAAATATGGGGGTGACATACTAGTTTGTAGATTAACTGAGGTACTAGGCAAAGTCTGGGAATCAGAGACAGTACCATCAGACTGGGGTAAGTCACTCATTATACCGATATTCAAGAAGGGAAACAAGTCCTCGTGTGATAATCATAGGGGGATCAGCCTAACGAACATAGTCTCTAAAATCCTAGGCTCAGTAATCATGCATAGACTAAGCAGAACTCGGGAGGAACAGACAAGGGAAAATCAAGCAGGCTTTAGACCAGGTAGAGGGTGCATAGATCATATCTTCACTCTTCGACAGATTCTAGAACATAGACACACTTTTCGGCGTCCAACAATTGTCATATTTCTTGACTTGAAGGCGGCCTTCGACTCCGTGGACCGAAAAGTACTATGGCAATGTCTGACTGTGAAGGGAGTGCCAAGAAAGTACATTGCACTAATCAAGGCACTCTATTCAAACTCACGTAGTCGTGTAAGGGCTTATGGGGAATTGTCATCTGAATTGGTAACAACCAGTGGTGTCCGACAGGGATGTCCACTTTCCCCATTTCTGTTTAACTTCATCATAGATATGCTAATGGAAGTATCCTTAACTGAACGTAGTGACTTAGGAATCGACTTGTTACCAGGGAATAATCTAATGGACTTAGAATATGCAGATGACATAGTCCTGTTAGGGGAGGATGCTGACAAAATGCAGAGTCTTCTGAACACCTTGAGCAGCAATCTTCGTATGTTTGGCATGCGATTCGCCCCTGCAAAATGTAAGATGCTGCTACAGGACTGGACGACGTCAACCCCTAACTTAGTGATAGGGAGTGAAGTGATAGAACATGTTGACCACTTCACCTACTTGGGAAGTTGTATTAGCACCAACGGACTGATTGGCGATGAAATCTCAGCACGGATCCGAAAAGCTCGAGCTGCTTTCGCTGACTTACACCATCTCTGGCGTAGGCGTGACATCCGGTTATCAACCAAGGGACGTGTGTACTGCTCATCAGTTCGCTCCGTCCTTCTCTATGGCTCTGAAACATGGCCAATACGCGTTGAAGACATGAAAAGGTTGACTGCTTTCGATCATAGATGTCTGCGATCTCTGTCTCACGTTAGGTGGTTTCACAAGATAAGTAATGTTGACGTTAGGCGTAGAGTGTTGGGCAAAGAGGGAAAATCAATCGACGAGGTTATAAAGTTACATAGACTAAGATGGCTAGGTCACGTGCTGCGCATGCCTAACCACCGCCTCCCCCGACGGGCATTGTTAGCTGATATAGGTTCAGGTTGGAAAAGAGCCAGTGGTGGCCAAACAAAAACATGGCATCAATCCATGAAATCCTTGACAGTTAAACTGAGTCAGGTAGGGAGATGCAGACTCCCGGGTTGGGGCCCTCGGGACTCTAGGAATCAATGGCTGGAGACAATAGGTGACATGGCTCAAAATCGTTGTCAATGGCGCAGATGTATTCAATCTCTGTAATCTTTCATATTCCTTTCTACCATTACCCATTCTGTTTCACTCTTATACTTGTCAAACTCTATTGATTCTCTTCACTCATCTTCTTGTCTACCTCTGTGTGCTATTTGGAACGTGGCAACTCGAACTGCTGCACTTCGGTGCCAAGTTCTATGTTGAATCCAGACAGACAGACAGACTGAGTCAAAAGACAAAGCTGGTTGTCTAGCGAAAACACCTTACTTCAATAACAACAATCTCTTCTCCAGCAGAATTGGCAGTTATTGCTTTTAGTTGCGCCATCATTCAGCTTACTTTTTAGAGTAGTGGGACCACCAAATAGTACAACTTGATTTGCTATTGCGATATGCAAACCCAACTACTAAAACAACAGCAGTAACTGTTGACTACCGTAAAGTTGTGGAATATATAGTGATTATAAAGGCGAACAACTTGAACGTTAGGGCTTCAACAAGATGTCGGATACGTGGTATTAAGAAATTTAATTTATTAGCATTTGTTACCAAAGGCGAAGAAACTGAGAATAGTATTAGTAGGTCAGAACTCAGAACAAGCCTTTTAGGTACCAATATATGAACTACGCATAATGTGAACACTGGTGATACTACCCACTTGCACAGGCTGAATTAGGTGGCGTGGGACTCGGGCCCAGGACCAATTCGACATAAGTAGAGAGCTGAATAGACACTACTACATCTTTATTGGAACAAAAGCGAGATGAGGCAAGTAAACTTTGAAAGTGTAGTGGGTTTCAACTTCGCTCTCTGTACTGAATCTGGCATTCTCTTCGAATACGTGCTAGGGAAAGATAGTTCTTTGAGCATTTTCTCTATCTTTCTATGCTATGTGGAATGTAGCAACTTGAATAGCTGCCCATCTGTGCAAAACTGTACGTTGAAAACCCAACCAGTCAAGTAAGAGGAAACGTCTGGTCTTGCGTAAACACAGAGCTAAAGAGGTGACACGTGGGATTTTTGGCAGTGACGAAGTTTGTAGACTGTTTTGTACGAAAAGCATTGCCAAATGTACGGGGAGGAACAATCATTTATAACTTCTCAGGTCTATGTAGTTTAATGAATCTCCCTCAAAGTGGATAAGCAGTAGGTATGGATTTCCTGCAAGCTGCAGAAAGCACATTGAGTAGTTGAGACTGAATTCTCAACACAGAACATTGCACAAACATGCAGAAATTCACTTTATAAGGAAAATGCATAGGTAAATTAAAAAATTGAAAGTAAACTATAATGGAAATGTACAGAAGAAAGAATAGTAGAGATTGCATGAATATGAAAGACAAAAAGGAGTACATCCGCACAAATGAGAAAGATTTTTAGCCACATTCCCGACAGTCTCCAACCATCAGTTCTTAGAGTATCAAGAGCCTCAGCTCAGCAGTCTATACCTAACGTGGCTCAAACCTCCAGTTGGAAGCTGCGTCGGTGGCATAGTGGTTAGGACTCTCGCCGACCATGCACATGGTCCGAGGTCCGATCTCCTGCCGACGCACACCTGATATCTATGGTCGGCCTGCAAAATTTGGGCTACCGATATTCATGCTGAAAATTCCATACTTGTACCAAAAATACAATGTGGAATCAAGCTATAAATCATAAATTTAAAAAAATTAAATCAAAAATTAAAAATGATTTGATGCCACGTTTCGGTTTAAGACCTCTTAATCATTATCGACAATATCCTACTTTGGCCAACGATGCTCAACAAGGAAAGGGGAGGATAAGTTGGGTAACATTTAGCCATCTCACTTGATACAGCTTCCCATCATTGATTAACTTTCCGTCCTAACTAGTGCATTATTTACCGCATTATGCCATATAACTCAAGACTAACTGCAAAGTATTATGGTCAAAAACTGCCATAATACTACTGCTACACTTCCATCTTTCAGCAATAAGATTTTGTTCACAGACCCCTTGTCATGGAAAGAAATTTACACTTAGTTTAACCACTACTATTACCATTGTATGAGATCACAAGGAGAAACACTTCTGGTCAAATGAGCTTACTACAACAGTGAATTATCGAAATCCCACCACCATGGTACGGAGAAATATACTGGTTCTGTATTTTGAAATAATAGATAAAATTTGGAGCTCAGGTGGTTCAGTATTTAGAATTTGTACCAAGACTGTATCAGTTATCAACCTAAGCCCGTGAAGGACATTTACATCTACCGCCTCACCATGCAGAGTCTCTGTCAGGCTATCAATTCCTACAAAGTACACATTGTCTTACTATTATTGCATAACAGACTGGAAAAACTGGTGATGTGAAGGTCCTAGTGGATGAAATGTGAATAGAATAAGCTAATTTTTCTCTAAGGGATAAAAAGTTTGAAAGGAAAAGGACTCCAGGATTTTCGAACCAGTTCAGACCTCAGAACTTACATTAATCTGTAGTTTTGAACCAACACCTACACTATAGTGCAATACAATAACATGTAAAATATACAGGCGCGTATACAAGTCTGCGATCCATGCTATGTAGAACAAACAAAGAGTGGTAAGCGTAATAAACAACCTGTAACATGACCAATATAATACCCACCAGATTAGCTTTCTTATTAAGTGACTTCATAAGCGAAAGTTAATTTGGCGAACCGCTTGATATTTCGATAAATTTGGAGATATCCCTGCAATATGTTAGTTGTTAACAACCAGATAGACATGTACGCTACAAGTGTGTCAAGGTTTGCACTAATGACTTCAAGAAGAGCAAACAGGACGTACGTCCGATACTAAATAATCAGACGTTAACTATTGCTCAGGTAAGATTGAGTCAAAGTTTATCGAATCAGTGGAAAGCCTACTTGCTTTTGGAAAATACAGACAAAATTATAGTCTAAACAGAACTAAACAGATACATCTTTCTTACTGAAAATATATACCGACTAAAACAATCATCCGGATAGGGCTAGTGTAACGCATAATTCAAGAGACCGCTCAACAGTTCGAATCTACATTGCTGCTCCATCTTCATTCGTCGATAGTTGTGTCAAGCCCCTGCAGTGAACCATCTGATAATTGTTAATCGAGACACGGTATTATTATAATACAAATAACCATAACTCCATTATTCATTATGAGTCATTCAAAAATAGATAACAGGTTTGGTATTCATAGTTTGTTTTTGATTGTCTAACTGATATGCCAGTATTTTCTTTCATAATGGGACATCCTGCATCAAGTCCACACCTGTTGAGAAGGTCTGTTACTGTGCTTTTAATAGAAGAGTCTAAGTATAGTAAACTTCGTTGTCATGCCATTATGCAAGTCTTAGTAGAAAAAGTATTTGAGTTGTTATGAAGTGGAATGGAGTAACGGAGGGTTAATTACAATTTCTTATGAAGACAAGATAAATACTAAGATATCTGCGGATTAGTTCAAATGTCCACAAGCCATAGGACAAGAGCACGTAAGTCACTAAAATTTAAGGTTTAGGATTGTTCCATCTTGTATATCTGGTCTGGCTAATTAACAGTCACATCAATCGATGCACAAACAACTGATTCACAGGTCTGGGATGTACTGGTTGAGAAAGACTCAAGTGTATTTTGGCAGATTGTTTACAATCATCCATTACATCCTTCCAGCTGATGTATTTTGTCAGTTGTCTTCTGTTGGTGATTCTGTTTTGCCATCATGAATTTTGGATAATCTGATTCTTAAATAAGCTCCTACTTTTATCTTTGAATTAATTCAAAAGAAGAACAGAAACTGTGTCCGATGTTTGCTACGAAGATTATACGCGAAGAATATGCGCTTTGTGTTGGTAGTTAATATATTTGCTCCAAAATCCTTACGATAGTGACCAGCTGAACTGCCAGGTCACTAAGCTGATACATTTAACCATATTTGAGGCTGTGAAATTAGAGTATCTGATGGTACATAGGTACTCTGGCCTTCTCTGAAACAGTTGGAAGGATGAAACCCCCCTATTGGTCTGATATTCAGTTCACTATTTATAAATTTGAGTAAATTTCCTCCCCTCAGAATACTAATGGTTTTTTTGAAAACAAAGGAGCAATTTTTCATGCATTTATTCCCCTTGATAAATTTGAATAAAGCGAGAACAACATTGATTTGTGCAGAATAACATGGTACCATCATTTATTTCGTTGGCTTCTCGTCAGCTGCCTACAGCCTAAATAAATTTTCAGGTTTAAGTACAGAAACGTTTTAACGTACTTGCAAATTTTACATGTTGACAGAAAGTTTCACAACTAGTAAACAGTGTTCAGAAAATTGCGCTTATATAGTTTTTACACAGGCAGTTCAAGTTAAAAAAAATAATAAATAAATGTATGTATATAATGGTAAGGGATGTGCGTTGGATGCATAGTGACTAATAAGTTAGGTAACAATGTACTGAGTTGAACTCAAATCATAGAAACAAGAGACAAGCAAAATTACAGAATATAAAAGAGGGTGAGGTTAAAGACAAAGATTGCGCAATCAGACGGGAGAAAAAAGACATCCAGTTACCAAGGCAAGGAAAGACTAATAACTGATTCTTTCTGAACACATAGATCTGGTTTCAAGCGTTTGATAGAAATTGCTTCGGCAAACTTGAGGAGAATGGAGCTCCTTTGTCTATTGATAATTTTGAAGGATTTCTCGATTTCCACCTCATGACCCGTGTCGAGGAGATGTCTGGTAATAGCGCTGCTATAAGTGTTTGTTCCCTTGAGACGTAGGCTTTTCGGCACATGTTCAATTTTGGCTGTCTATTCGTGGAACATTGTTTGAGATAGTTTGAATTGCTGGTATAATATGATAACCCTACACTATTCGAAGTCACCTTTCTATACATGGCATATGAAATGATAAAGACTTAGTCAAAAAGATACCGATAAGCAGGGCAGGGATCAATGCTAATAGTTAGGAAATCCACTATAAACATTCAACTAAGTGATATAATTAGGTTCTTCACGGGTGATTTTTGGACCGTTCCGCAGCTGTATATGAATAGCCTTGTTGTATGAGTATCACTGTAAACGTGAATCTACTTGTTGTAGTGCTAGTTTGTTCGTTGGTCTCATCAGTTGTTTGTTTACACTACTGGTATTGAAACGGAGGTGGGCGCTGTGGAGCATTCTGAACTGTAGATGCCTTCACATAGAATTTTTCACTTTACATCCTTATGCTTCTTTCGTGACTTCTTATTTAGTCTATAAATATGTGAGTGTTTTTCGGTCTCGCACACCCTCCTGTTCACAAATGTCACCTTCAAAGAAATGCAAAAACATTTGTGATGCTGGTCGATGGAGTATATGATCAAAGAAATGAATAAAACTACCTGGGCTTTTAACAAGTAGTGTCAATGTAGTTGAAGATTGAACGATCAATTCATGGTTGTTCGCTCAAACCCAACTCCTCCACATTTTTCTTGGGAGTCATCCATTCATCAGTCATCGTCTCATCGTTCGCTGTTCAGGGAAGATAAAAGACTATCAGAAGTATTATCATGATTTATTTTTATGACATTTATTCCTAAACCTTGTGTGTAATAACCTTGTTGTTGGTTACATGTTGGCGTAAGAGTAAAGGATTCTTGAGTCGCCAATCAGTGTTCTGGTTTTCGCGTTGGTTAATACAAAGTGTTTCTGGAAGTCTTCGAGGGACAGCGCAAGGTCCAGCGTAGTAACAACTGGACATTGACAGTTACCCAGAGTTGGCTGACAGTTTCTGATAGTGTCTGGATAATTTCCGTCCGTCTTTCCTGGCGCCCGCCAGTCTTCTTTGGACAAGTATTATCTGGAACTTTTCTGGAATTTTGGTGAAGTTCAATGATGCCTGGGTCAAAGGAGGGACAGAGCGTCTAGGAAGCAAGCAGGAAAGTAAGTAATGTTGACTTGTCTGTTACATGTAACGATGTGTGTGATGTTAAGCATGATATGGTTGATGTTCATGTTTCGCCATCTAGGGATAATAGGAATATTAGGCTTCTTAATACGAACCTTCGTATTTCGACGGAAACCCAACTGACTATCCACAGTTTGTAAAAGAGCGTGAAGTCATGTTGGGTGGGTTTTCATCAAATGACGAAATGAAGTTGATGCATTTGACGAGGTACTGCACTGGAGTCACTTCAAGAGCCATGCAGTGCTACAAGTTCATGCCGCCAAACGCGAGGATATACTGAGGCCATGAAGATATTACTTCAAAGGTTTGGAAAGCCATCACGATATCCCGTAGCAATTTTGAGACCGTTAAAGGTAATGGGACGCAGTTAAGTGACAACCCCGAGGAACTCGCAGAGTTCCTGGATTATATTATGGTATACAAAAATACCCTGGTTTATCTTAACAATATGGATGAGCTACACTCAAAAATAATAACGTGTTATCTCATGTAAACATATAAATTTACATGAGAATGCATGCCATTTTTACAGGCACGATCAAGTATGACATAATATCAAATCGTAGATTGTCTACAAGTTAATAATGTTTCAACAATTAAATATTTGGTATATATAATTACACTCATTGTCTGAACCAGGCCGTATAGTTATTGAATTGTACGGTTGTCCTCCAGGTTGAGCGGGAAAATCGACTTCGTTTCGTTTTCATCCCGTGGTTGTAGGCATACGATAACCAACCAATATTGAGGTAAATACAACTTTTACAAGGGATTGAAAGCTGTTTTAGAAAAGTTAAAGTGCTAAGTTGAATCATTAAAGTGTAATAAATTAAGTAAGTGCAATATAACATTAATAAATACATTTATATAGGAAACAGAATGGGGAAGTAATTAATCCTTAGGCCGACAACGTTCATTTGCAATGTATAATAATACCCATATACTTCCTACTATCATGATGTCCACTTTTGGCTTTAATGCAATTATTTTCAATCCGGTTGTTTTTATTTCATGCCTTTTTGTCTACTTGGTGCACAACCGTACCCTACAGAGAATAGGAATAGAATAAGTCGAATCAAACTCATAAAGAGCTATAAAATGTTAGGTTTAATGGAATATAATGAGGACCAAGTAAAGACGTTACTAGAAAATAAATGAGATGAGACATTGTGAAGTGGTATTTAAATATCCGACAATGGATAGCAAGTTAATTTATAAGATGCCCCATAAATCTGTGCAGAGCCCACGTGGTTGCATCTCAACAATAGGCTGAGCGAATTGTATATATTTAAAGGCAGAAGCATGATCTGTCTAGGCGTTCGTTATTATCTTTTTCAAGATAAAGATCTAAGCCCTCATAAATATCATGGAAATCTCGAACCGTCAAATTGGATATCGCTGTTCCTGAAGAATGGGGTGATTCACGTTAGTGACCATCACCATATCTACTGATCAGCTAGCGCCACCCTCCCTCCTTTTATGATGTTAGGCTTTGAGACTATGATTATTATGGCTACCGCAAATGTATTGCTTGGTACCAGACATGTCCGTACCTCATATTCCATCTCCCTAGCTTTCTTAATGAGTGCTTCCAATAGGTCTCCACGTACATCTTTATGAACATATTATATATGTGTGCATGCATCCTAACGAACAGATTACTTTATAAGAAGTTAAAAACTTAAAGAGTAAAAAGAATAGGTTTTGTGAATAGTGTAGCAGGATTCAGCAGAACAATGTAGTTAGGGATCAATGTAGGTAGTATGAACTGAAGGTAAGGTCGGTTGGCAGGACTTAGTGTACTAAATTATCATGACAGTATATATGGTAAACATTTGACATTGCAAAGTAACCTGTCTACATATATTATAAAAAGATATTAACACTGAACTAACAAAATTTTAGCATTTGGTTAACAATACTCCAGAAGGGTAGTTAGTATAACAGTTCAAGGCTTGAGACAGTTGTCAAGAAATTACCGATTCGTCTACGAAGGAAGTTCATAAAGGTTAGCTCCCGGCTAGGAAAAGATGGTTTGGAGCCTGGATTCGATGATATTGCGAGGCTGGTGAAAGACAGTGT